TCTTGATGACGCCGCCTGCTCAGATATATTCTCAACCGGGGAAAGGTTAGACCGCCCGGCAAAGAATATATTTGGACAAGCAACGCAAGTATTCCATGTGAAGTTTGATGAACTTGAAGAAACTGGCGTTGACGAACCAGAGCGGCTTGGTCGCATGACTCTGTTTTTTTTTATCACATCGGCTGTTCAGACAGTCTCCACCGGCGAATTTGTACAGGCAACGCAAGGATTTAATGTTCCATGATCTTGAAAAACACGCGTTGCCCATAGAGGGATCAGTGCTGCTTTATTGCATTGTTCAGCGTCTATCATGAGGTCCCTTCGGTGTTTTCATTGCGCCGCCTACGCAGCCACCGGCGAAAGGTAAAACCCACGATATTTGGGCGGGCAAAGCAAGACAGACAGGAGGCTGCGATGTAAAGCTTTTAAATCTACCACCACAAGGTAAATGTCCAACAGTTGTTTTGTGGTAGCTAAACTAAATACAATTAGCCTTTATAATAGTATGTGACAATAAAATACAAAGACAATCAAAGACAACACGAAAGAGAGACAGCAGGTGGTTTTATTTCTATATCTAATTCTCAACTTTTGGAATAATATTGCTATCTAGTACACTATTTCTAATAGGTCGGCTAATCTGATGGCGACAAAAAATAAAAGACCAATAAACTGTGGGTGTACCATATGCGGTGCAAATGACGTTACCTCTCTGCGTCAAGCAATACATCCTATACCTATCTACTGAACTTTTAGCGCACATAGAATGATGCTTGTACAACTCGTAATGAAGATCTCTTTTTTTAAGATACAAATTGCTAATATACAATATTTTTTGTTTACTAGGTTCCATTATACAGAATTGTTCATCAGGTCCTTTCAAGGGTTTACATTGTGCTGCCTGCTTCAATGTATTCTCACTAAGAACAGGCAAGCCCTCCCAGGAAGAATATAGTTTGACAGGCAATGCAAGACAGGCAGGCGGTATTAATTATGAAGTTTGAGAAAATTGAGCTTTTTCCGGACATCTTCACTGTAATAAAAATATACGACAATTGTTCTTTTCACACAAACTGAATATCTCATAGTTAGTCTTTTTGCAAATAACACACAGAAACAATCAAAGACAACACAAAAGACAATACAACAGGTGGCTTTGTCTAGTAGGTGGCCTTGAATGACTAATTTACAAGTTTTAGAACACATTTTTAATGGAAAGTAAAGCTCAGTGATATAATAACACATAGAACACTTTTTCTAATGCCTTGGCATATGACTGCACCTAAGTGCAGCTAGTTCTAAAACTAAAATGCTAAGTAAGACCTGGCTATATAGAGTACGGCGCAGACGTTATCATGTCGCGCAGATCAATACAGTTGTGTACAATAAGTGGTTCTACTTTTGTACTAAACTTATCGCGCACAAGAAAGAATGTCGTCAACGCAGGACGTCATTAAGTTTTTTTTTTAAACAATGAAGAAGAAATTACAAATATACAAGACTTCAACATTAAAAAATATTACAGAGAAAAATCGCAACAAATTTTAAATAAGGTACACAAGTCGGCGTATATTGTACGTATGAAAACAGTGACAATTTATCCCTTAAATTGCACGAAATTATACACTGGTATTCATAAAGTATTCTGGCACAATTTATGATGATAAAATATAAAATAAACTTAATATTTTATTTATAAATCTAAAAGAATAATATGGAAACACCTACGCTATCGATGGCAAAATGAAAGGTGTTTTACATTATTATTGGAAAGGAAATTGAACTAGGACAACAGCAGATTAGTGTAACATAAATCTGGAACATAATGTGATGAAATAGGAAGAAATCTCAAAATAAACTAGGCGGAAATAGGTCGAAGAAGCAGTCATTGACTTATAACTAGTTTAAACTCCGAATTGTATGTTTTTATAAGCCGTTTATGTTACTGTAGAATTGGTGGAGTAATACATTAACTCTGTTTGCACTTACCCGCAATTTTGCTGGTTTTAAAGGCAAAATTGCCTTTCGATTTAACACTAAAACACAGTGGTAATATCCACTAGATTAAAGTTTGAGAGGCACTGGCTGCGCATGTCAAATGAAGAAAAAAAAATCAATAATTTCGGATACACACACAAATTGCTTGAGCGAAAAGTGTGTGTGGCTCCAACACATTGCAAATATTTATTTAAAAAGTATGAACATACCACGAATAATACCGTTCTTTCATTCAATCGATGTCATAACGTCAAATGAAATCAAACGTTTCTCTAATATCCATACCATTCGTTCAATTAACTGAACTTCTCCGAGTTTGTATTTTCAGTTGCTTTGTTTGTAGATATTTGTAAGACTAAAATTTGCTAGAATTTGTTAATAAGAACCTCAGTTTCTTAATAAAATGTCATCACCGGTATGTGAATTTATTTATTTTTGCTGAAACTTTATAATTACTTTATAGTTACAGTGCTAGGTTATATTTATGATAGAAGAGTCCGTAATTTGGAATTTGTTGTTATAGATAGAGGATAGTGTACGGCGTAACAGCGAGACAGAAAGTGGGGGCAGCGAGACTCCAGACCACGATCCTCACTACGAGCCCATCGTAACCCTGCCGCTGGTGGAAATACCTACGAATGAAGAGGACGAGGAAGAACTGGTGAAAATTCGAGCGCGGCTGTACCGATACGATACTGTCGATCATGAGTGGAAGGTATGTTGAAACTTGACCATTGTAAGCTGCTCTCTAACATTTGTTATAGATATTATATGTTTATTCAACAAATCTTCTGATAAGTAGTTGTTCTATATCATACTATAATGTCATCTCTAGAGTTTTAGACCTATGTATGTACAACATGTTATCTATATTTTATTTTTATGCATAGACAAGGTATTTACTATGAAATCTGCATTCTGCCATAAAATAACTATAGCTATGCTGCCTATGTGCATGCTTCTGGGCAGTAAAATTGGTACTGGCGGCAAAATCAGCCTTGGACTTAAAAAGTGTAAACTGAATATTGTAACTGTTCTCATGCATAAAAAATATTATCTCCTTAGGCTGAAATTTATGAAATGAATTTTGATTTTATGATGATTTGGTGCCTTTAAAAAAAAGGTATCAAAAATTTATAATAATTTACTAAAATTAAAGTTAGTACTTTGCTATGTAAAAAGCAATTACACAACTTATTAATTAGTGTAACTTTTTATTTAAAAAAAAAATTCAAAAGTTGAACAAACTTCAAAGTTTTAAAGTTGAAAATCGACTTTTTTATTGGAATTAGATCTATTTGCCAAGTTTTTATTGGAATCGGTTAACGGAATATCAGTGAAACTGGATTAATCTCCTGGTTTGCCACCCTAAGGGCGCATTCCCATTATGTCATAACAGCAGTCTATCGTTGGAACGTCAAAGAAGTTGTAAACAACAGTTAATCATGTTGTTCTACGTGTGAAACTTCATTTAAATACACAAACCACGACACTTTAAACTGCACGACATCTGTCATCACGACATAATGGGAACGCGCCCTTAAAGATCTCTGAGGGGGACTACAACTGTTATGGACAGACGTGTAGCTTACCATCAGGCGCACGACTTGTTCGTCCCATCACTTGATATTATATAAAAAAGAATTATATGTCTAAAGTGGTAAAAAAATGGCAAACTAAACACTACCTATTCCGATCCTTGGTCATATATCATTAAAAGGGTCACTTTTTATGCATTATGCTTCCAAATGCAACTGCATAACCACAAATAGATTGATTATGATGAAGAGCCAAGAGCCATAGACTTGTAGTTGTAATGTTGCAATATTTTTGGTCAGGAACGTGGTACAGGAGACATTAAACTTCTCCGACACAAACTGAACAACACAGTGCGAGTAGTGATGCGACGTGACAAGACCCTCAAAGTGTGTGCCAACCACTTCATTACCCCTGACATCCGAATGAACGTACACTGTGGATCGGATAAGGCATTCAATTGGTCTGTTTTTGCTGATTATGCTGATGAAACTTGCAAGCAAGAGCTACTGGCTATTAAATTTGGAAATCCACAGAGTAAGTTATTATTTAAGTCTTATAATTACGATCTAGGCTCCTTTTGGGGAAGTAAACACCACACTTTTCTCTCCAAAGTTTTCTTATTATATCTCACAACTTTTATATGCACCTGAATACTTAGTCCGAAACTGTAAAACGAAAGTGGTGTTGTCCTTGAATTATCAAAACTGGTTTCAGAATTACTAACAGCACAAATTGTTGTATCAAGTATTCATTCACTTCATTTTTGTAATAATAATAATGCATACACTCATAGCCCCCGCACTAGGGTAACCCTGTGTTGCAGGTGCCATGGACACACACAGAACACTACAAATTACACCCAAATTCACAAAAGAAACAAATGTAGGCCATACAAATTTTTCTCCAGGCCGGAAATCGGACCCGGGACCTCTGTCTGGCAGACCAACATCGTAAATGTTCGGCTACGGAGTTATAACGCATGGTACACGATTGTGTTATATTGAAGTACTACATCCTTACCAATGCGTATTATAACCGCTTGTTTGAGAATGAGTGAGAAACGTAAGGATACACCTGGAGTGAGTATTCATTGCAATCTACTTCATATTACAGATGCACAACTTTGGAAAACTAAGTTTGCCGAAGCACAAGAAATTGTACGGACCAAATGTAGCCTCTATTCGCAGTCTCACGAACCATCATCAGACGAAGAAAGCAGCATTACCAGAAGTGAAGATACTAACACTCCGGAGCCAAAGGTCTTGGAGAACTCACCGAACAAAGAAAAAAAGGGATCGGGTTTAGAAGAAAAAGAATCCGAAGGTGTGGTACTGAAATTAAAAGAATTAAAAGTTGACAGTGGGAAAGATGAATAATAAAAATAAAAGCCTACATATGCATTTTAAGCATAATAGTATGTTAGGACAAGCTAGTGTGAAGATTTTTTGTTTTAAGCATTTTTTTAATTCATGAATTTAATTATATGGCCTTAGGGTTGGACGTCATTAATCAGTATGAATCGTCACTAAGTCGCGTACTAACCTAAACTTCAAGTAATATGCATAAGTAGTATATTACCACCCTCTGAAATTCCAAATTTAAATATAAAAGGCATAAAATATAAACAAAATATACTCTGTTTTTTTGCCAAGACAACAGAAAAAGTTCATAGCGCAAAGGTGTTGCCCACTTACAAGCAGCTTTTATTGTTCATTAGAACATCATAACATTCACTAGTCATATATTTTTATGTAAAATTGTATCTTTCACAATCTCGGCAACAACTATATTAACTATTTAAAATTTTACAAAGACTGGCAACTTTGCAAATGTCATTTTACTTCAGACTGGCTGTACTTAGGTTTAGGTAAGTATATCCTGCCTATTCTGATCTTTGGTTATTTTTTAATGTCATATTTTACTCGGGGACAATATCATTCGTTCTTACATTGATTAATAAAAACCTTTGTGGATCAATTTGACACCACATAAAATATAAGTTATTAGTGACATTTGTGTTGAGAACTGGGGTTTCAACCTTTGGCTTATTTTACAGATTAAGTTTTTTCTTTCTTTAGTGATTCATTCATCATTTGTGAAAACGAAGCAACGATTTTAAGCAATAATATTCGAATTTTCACATAGATAAAGTTGTTTTAAATCAAAGGGACAATTTTTTTACTGTTAAATTAGTGTAAATGGACATTCAACAACCAAATACGTCATTAACAGATTCAGGCGTTACTTTGCGGAAGTCCATGTTAATAAAAATGGAAGTAAATTAACTTCCATTTTTACTAACCAAATACTTGTTAGTATCACACACTAAGCATACTCTCCGTATTTTACATGTCTGGCATTGTCTATAACAAATTCTCAAAATATAAAGATAACAAACAGCTTTTATAACAGATGCGGTACTGACGTGCTGATTGATTAGTATGTACGAACCTTACGGCTTCCATTCCGTACTGCAGTAATGTAAATTACTGCAGCACGGAATGGAAGCGAATTTTTGTAACTACATGTTGCACGTTTTGCGGAGAACTGTCACCCAGTCTCGGGAATTCCCGCAAAAACTTCGTTTCCCTTCCGGTCCGCGGTAATGTAATTGACTGTGTCCATTTATTCTACTTTAACAGCATGAAAAGGAAATTAGGAATTGGACTTGTTTCAGCTTGAATAAGCAAAAAAATTATATGTTACATGTATTTAAAAGATACGTATGATATGTATTCTGCATTTATCACATATCGTTTAGGTATATTTTAGGTTAGTCTTGTGTTTTTTTTTATTTCTCCAATATGTTTATTTTGAAGGGATCAGAGAAGAATCTGTTAAGTTACGTGAAATATACAAGGCGTTTATGGAATCTTTACCAAAATGTTACACTTCTATTCATTTATGTTTCAATTACAACAAACAAAGCAATTTTGACTATTTATATAAATCGGCGGAACAGTAGATTTGAGATCGATGCCAACGAAAGATTTTTATATTGGCGGTTCTAATATGGAATTGAAATGTAACATTATCAGAGTTAGAAGAATATCGACGGCATCTACGTATACTAAGCAATCTGCAAATTATAATTTTTAAGAACAGAAAGTGTGTTTTTGATCTGTTGCACCTATAGAATGAAAGTGATCCAACACAAAATTCCAACTTTTTTGGATTTAATTTGAATTTGATTTCATAGATTTCTCACAGATGGTGCTACGACAAAAAAGTTGTTAAAAACCAAGAAACAAAGAATTGCAATAAGCATATAGAAAAATTCGTAAGGGCCGCTAGTTCGTCCCGTAGCTCAGTTGGGAGAGCGTTAGGCACGGTATGTTGAAGGCGCTCGCTGGTTCGAATCCAGCCGGAACGAAAGAATTTTTTTAGTGTTCGATCTTTGTGTTATAACAAACTAGTATAGTGGAATAGTTTCACGAAAAAACATCGTGATATTCAGTAAACTTAATATGATTCGAAGTTGCGACATTCTCACATTTTTTTTATTTATTACTCTCGCATTACAAATAGCCTTGTTAGTGCTGGAAAATAGTGATCATACATCCAGCTTTATAATCTGAAAATATGCTTCTGATTATTAAGTTTATCATTTGCTAAGTTTAAAAACTACATTAAAAACATTTTGATCGAAAAATATTACAAAATTGAAGACTACGTGTTAGATAAAGATGTATGGAAAGACGACATGGCTCCAGAATCCACACAAATTTGATTCAAAGTGTATGCCATAGCATTTAAGTTTATTTGAAAAGAGCAATCCCTAGAGTTTCTTGCTCGTTCTTCTCAGGGAGGTCACCGTAGTCAACGAGCAGTAGCTTAAATGTGACGTTTTCAAGTGTAAATTTATTTTACCTATGGAATATATAATCTTTGACTTTAATGCTTAATAATAATAAAAATATTTACAAAAATTAATAGCTTGGAGGTCACTTTTTATTGAACTTATTGTTGTCACTTGACCTATCAAGATGTAAATGTTTCATTTTCACCAGCTAAGCAAGATGTTATGACCTTATCAAGATTATAAAAGAAAGTTTTTGAGTAATAACGTAAAGATTTTCGGAATCGCTAATTCGTCACTTTATTCGGGCGTGTTGTCTTTGCAATTGCAGATTCAACAATCAGGGTCGTATTCTAGAACTCTACTCAATGCTCAAGTCAGGATTTGAGTATGGTTTAAAGCACTCGAAATCATACTCAAGTCCCTGCCATTAGGGTCGTGTTTCCAGTGCTTGAAATCATACTCAAGTCTGCTCAAATCCTGAGTTGAGCATTGAGTAGAGTTCTGGAATACGACCCTAAATGGCCTAAATGCGGTGCTGACATACCGACGCGGGAGTCGGATTTCTAACATATGAAAGATACCCATATATGAGTCTGTGCCATTCGAGCTTTAATGGATCAGTTCCAAATTAAAAACCTTATGATGGTTTTTAAAGTCGTTTTACGGTATAAACTTATTCTGTTGATTTTTTAATTAGTCACTTTTATTCTAAACGTGGCTGTATAGTATATAATGATAATAATAACAATGCACATACTCTACACTAGGGAAACCCTGGGTCGCGGGTGCCATGGACACTCACATAGACAACCACAAATTATACCCAAACGCACGAGAGAAATAAATGTGTAGGCCATGCAAATATTTCTCCTGGCCCGGGAATCGAACAATTGACGGGTGGCCTCAATTGTTTAACTTCAAAAATACCAGTTTAACTTGAGCTTTGCTATAAGGACGAAAATTTCAAAATTACTTATTTTATATCTAATTACCGAAATCTGATTCCGTTATTTTGTAATTACATGTTTTGCTGTTTTTCCCACACCACCGAATGGAACAGCCACCCATTGTGAGAAAAATTATCATTATTACGATAAATACAGTATATTTTTGGAATATACGGAGACGTAGCACACAGGTCAATTGTAGGCGCTGTATTATTTCAGTTTTCTAATTTGTGATTTCAGCGCAAATGAGAGTTGATATTTAAAAGTGATTTTTTTAGTGATTTGTCTGTTGAGTTGTCAGGTATGGATGGCCCTTATTTCATCTCTATTTCTGGTTATATACTCGATGAGCACTCGTAAGAGATGAAATTACAGGCACATGGGACTTGTCAACTTATGTCTCAAGGTGGCAGGCGCAGTGGCAGTGTCCTTCAGATCTTTGCGATTTAAAGCTCTAAGTGGCACTTCAACTGGCATGGACAGGCGGTTCCTTTAACACCAGGCACAGGACTTGTTTGTCCCGTCATTTGGTATCATGGAAAAAACTCTAAGCACAACAAAAACGTTCACGATGCCCCTACATTACTAACTTTGTAATTTTGTAGATCCTGGCTTAGTTGGCATAGCATCTTGCACGGTTTGCTAGAAGACGTAGGTTCGAATGATTTTTTTCTAAGTGTATTAATAATAATCTTTGTATTAATAAGTATAACTAGTGAAGTCATTTCACAAAAAATAATTGAATATCATGGTGGACAAACATTCTGACATTCAATATTAATTAATTACAGATATTTGTTTGTTTAGATAGTTGTTTGGCTAAAATCAAAACTATTATGAATTCCCATTGAATTCCACAAAAATACTATTATTATTAGATATATGTATAATAAATAATATCGCATATGTCCCAAAGAAAGTAACTATATGATTGGTTATATGGAAATTGGAAACAACGACGGTACCACAAACACCCAGACCCGAGACCTCAGAGATGGTGATATCATGAAAATCGGTGTGCAAGCCACTCGATCACGGAGATAGTAAAACTTTGTGAACAGAGCTATAGTTAGCACCACTTTGAAAAATTGCAATTCAGGTAGTTTTTAGTGTTTTACAATTGTGTGCGTGGATGTCGTCCGTATGTAATTTTACCAAAAATGTTATTTAACCAATTCTATCTATGAATTCAATATTAATTGGTGATTTCGTAATATTGGGAATTGAAGATATACATGTTGGCGTTTTAACGATAGTCGATTACTTAACATAAAAGATGATATATTAACATATATAACGCACGATGCGGATCCGTAAGAGATAATCACGCGCACGTCTTAGTTCAGTCGCGATAAGGTACAACAGAATCTCGCTTTTTTGTACCAGAGTATATGAAACATTTTAGTGGACCATGTAATCTGGATCGACTAACGGAAATACGCTCTTAGTTAAGTGTTTAATATTGTCTTATAAAACTATAAACGCTAGGAAATTGTTAGTGTATTTGTAAATAAGAAAAAAATTATGAATTGTAATAATTTTAAAGACATTGGCAAAATCATTGATTATTTCGATGGAGCCATAACATTTAAAAGAAGAAGAATAATTTTAAGCAAAGGTGTTAACGTGTTTGAAGCTGTCGTTGTTTATACAGTAATAAATAACTTTATGTTGGGGACGCATTAACTGCTTACAGAGTGGTCGCGCGAACGCAATTTTAAGTTTAGTTTATTTGTCTCGTCAGAAGAAAATATTTCATATTAGCTTAGTTTTAAGTCTACTCTGCATAGTTTCGGACGACATTTTCAATTTAGTTCCACCCTCACCGTTTCTCCTTCGGTCGAAGGTACGGAACTTATGTCGTTGATATACCATCTATTCGCACTAAGCGCTTTGCTTCCTGCTTTCTGCAGCTTGATTTTGATTGCTTCTCCCGATCGGAATACCGAATCGAGGCGTATAATATTGCGGATGGGGTACCCAATCGGATTGAAACCCGTATGCACCAGGGCCCTGATTGTGGCCAAGCGTGTGTCTATTATATATATTAAAAAAAAACATGAACTTGAGTATGACAAAATGTATATGTTATTTATAATATATATAAGGTGACAGCCGCAGTGGCAATGGTTTCATATCTTTGCGATTTAAAGCTCTAAGTGGCATTGCAACTGTTATGGACAGGCGTGTAGCTTACCATCAGGTTACTTGTACCTCCCGTCACGTAATGATATTATATTTAAAAAAACATTACCGCGAAACATAATTTAATCGTATTTTTTTAACCACATCAAACACAAGTTAGCACGATAGACTGCAATACCCGACGTGACGAGAATCAAGGAATTATGCATACAGAGCACGGCGCGGTGTTAATTCACACGCGTGCAGTCGGCAGTTGCTGTCAATTCCCATTTGTTTACGCACCATCTCCCACTTCTCAACGTTTAAAAGTAAATATTCAAGAATGATTTGCAAAATATAAATAGTTATAAAAAGAAATAGTTAAACATGGGCCACACTATATTGGGTCGAATTATTTTCAAATTATACAGGACGCCAGGGGTCCATGTTACCTTGTCAAACTTCAACTTATACTATAATATAAATTGTTTGAACGCGACGACAGCTATAATGATGGCACTTACCTTTTGGGTGTAGCGTATTGTTTTTTTTCTTGGCGAATATTATCATAGTTTTTTGCAAAAAAAAACGATACTCGTACATCGCACCCCGGGAAAGTTCTTTTACTGGTGGAAGCACACTTCGAAGTGTGGTAATGGCCCTTATGATTTTTATTCGTTATGCTTTGTTAAAAAAATCCTGTATTAATATTTTTTTGTTTGTTTTCTATGCACCATTCACATTTGTAATAGGTACAGTCAGCATCAAAATGAATTAAACGATCGAACTAAGCAAGTGCTTACAAATCCAATGTGGTCAATTTTACCTTCAGAGCACTCATCCATCTGCACATTTGATAGAAGTCAACTTTCTTTGAAAATTGAATTATGATGTAATTGAAAGACGCTTCTTGAATTCGTTGATGCCGACTGTATATTGAATAAGTACGGATCAGTTAAGATTTTTATCGTGGTGTACAACATTCCTTTGTCAAAAAGAGGGCCAAAACAAAAATTGTGACCAACTTTGTGACACAATTTCGATGTTCTAGAACTTCAATTTTTTACTAATAAATGATATAGATGTATTTCATGTAACATTTGGTTTATGTTTATATCCTTCACCATCGTATGATTTCCTGTCATTATGTTTTTAAATTAATAAATTACATACAGTGTCACCGACAATATTTTGAAATGTAATTATATTCAGCGGCCGTGATTCTATTATTTTTTCGCATGATTTTGGTGAATTGTTCAGAGAAACAAGTGAAAATGTTGCCGCGCTGTTGAATAAGTTGCTGTTGAATTTAGGTGGCACATTTTACCAGAATGGTACACCGCGTCATACATACTCTAAACTACAAATCAGTTGAACTAATATTCCAATGAAATTGTTTTTTTTTTAAGGTTAAACTTATTGGACAGATTTCATCCCAGAAGTTCAACTTTCTAATTATTTATTTAATTTCCTTTTTCTTTGTAGGCAAATTGGCTACAATTAAATTATGATATCTACCCTACCTAGGGAAGACACTAATATGAATGGAAGATTCCTGCCCCGTAACTGCGTGCTGCAAGCGTTTATGGGTTTGGTCAGTACGCTCGACACCTTCTGGGGCCCTACTCTCGATACCTACTGGGACCCTAGTCTCTGTACCTACTGGGGCCCCAGTCTCTGTACCTCCTGGGGCCCTATTCGAAGCGAAATCCGTACTTACGGCCGTTTCCCCACTGTGCATGACCTACACACTTGAGTTTCGGTGGGGGATATATCTAAGAATGTATGACAACGCGAATTGACAGTTTCCAACGGGCCCGTCTTTTCGTTGACGAACTTCGTGTAGTAGGTCCGTAGGTCATCCATAGTGAGAAAACGGCCGTGCCTACAGATTTCGTGTTACGAGTGTAGAACCTCTGAAGCGTGTAAATAAGTGGGTTCTAATCCCTATTTTTTCAATTTCAAAATAAAACAGTATTTAATTCCATATTTTACTTGTAACACACATTGTCACGTTTAGTTCATTTACTGCCATAAAAATTTCACAAACCATATTACCTAAAATAAAAAGTCAATAAAAAATACAGTGTACATATTTCAGTGATTTATATAAGTAGGTAATTGCACAACTTGTATGCCTCTAAAATGAGGTTGACTGAAACCTACCGTGAAATTAGTATGAGTCAATATGTAATACTTGGTCCATTACATTGATGTATGTGGCTCATTAGCTACATACATCTATTTAACGTATTTCCATGTAATCAAATCACATGTTGCCTTCCGTTTCCTATGTAATATCATATATACATTTGGTAAAAGCAACAACTTTACAAACTAGTTCAAGCCCACAAACATAAAAGCATTTAAAAAGTCCTAAGCAAACCGCAATAATATTTTGGAATGTCAATAAGGTACGGACAACAGCACGTCAGACTACACATTTTTGTTCGAAAATCGCCTCCAGTGCAACAGAACAAGACACGTCAATCTGTAGCTTGATGTGCTGTCGACTGTACCATTAAGTGCTTTTTCATCTTCATTTTTATAACTATGGCTCCTTGCGGATAATTATTGAGCAATTGACACGTTTGATTTTTATTCACCAGTTTCAAGTCACCAAAATTTAAATATTTTGTTTTATTTATTTAAAAATTGCGAAATATTCTACATGTTATTCTGATAATTAAAAAAATTGTAAACTTACTTGTTTTGCCTTGAAGATATGTCACATTATTGTTACAGAAGGATGTAATTTTGAATATATCACAGAATGTTGAACAATATGAGATATACGACTCTAAAATTGAACTTCGTCACACGCTACTCCGACAATGTTACATCGACATGATTTTATTCAGACATTACGTTACTCCGACAACACAGACGAGATGTTCCTTAAAAAAATCTTTGTACTTAGATAAGAAAAATCATCATTACAAACCCACGCAGGAAATAGTTTCTTATATCGGTCAAAATAACAAAAAAAGGACAACGTTATATAATCGGAAATTTATTTTATTAAAATACAGAGTGTTTTTTAAAATGGTACTGCATGGGGAAATCTAAAACCATAGAAGATACAAAGAAATTATCTTAGGAACCATAAAATCGTCTTTTTTGTGAAAACAATTTTAGCATAGTCAAAATTTTTTGACTATGTTAAAATTGTTTAAAAACTAATAAAATTGATCAAAATCTGTTTTAGTGCCGATAGACTCCGTTTCATGTCGGAATCATTTCATTGTATGGGTCGAAGAAAATCACGACAGCAGAAGTTGGTCAAATTGAATAAAACGTGTATGAAAATATTTTTTTCATGAAATTTGACTAACTTTGCTGCCCCGATTTTTTTCTTCCGGTACAATGAAGTTATCCTTTTAAGAAACTGAGTCTATGTCTTTTAAGAATCTGAGTAATGCTAGCATTCAAAAAATTTAGTCAATTTTATTTATTTTGTTTGAAAGAACTAAGACAGTTTTCGTGTATCTTCTATGGTTTCCCCCATATTATCCCATTAAAAAAATACTCTGTATAAAGTGTAACAAAAAAAAAATAACAGAAAAGCAGTTTTAAATTTTCTTCCGTCCTGTAAATAATAACTTATGTTTTTTCTGTTTACTGTAATAAGGATTTTGTAAACAAAAAACGGTATTCATTCAAATTTGAATCAACGCAATGGCGTTGGTTATAATATGGTAAAATTTTAAATTAATATACTACATCATTACCGATAAACCACGCAACACTTTTAAATTTTGAGGGTAGGTTTAAATTGTTTTCATAAAAAAGACGACTTTATTGTTCCTAAGATAGTTTCTTTGTATCTTCTATGGTTTCAGATTTCCCCATACTGTCCCATTTAAAAAAAGAACACTCTGTATTTCAATAAAATAAATTTCCGATTATACAATGTTGTCATTTTTTTTGTTATATTGGTCAATATTATAAGAAACCGTTTCTTACGTGGGTTTGTAATGATGATTTTTCTTATCTGAGTACAAAGATTTTTTTAAGAAACATCTTGTCTGTGTTGTCGAAGCAGCGCAGTGTCTGAGTAAAATCATGTCAATGTAACAGATTGTCGGAGTAGCGTAGTGTCTGAGTAAAGTATTGTCGAAGTAAAATCATGTCGATGTAACATATTGTTGCATTAGCGTGTGACGTACATTGACTTACAAGACGAAGTTCAATTTTAGAGTCCAGATATACATGCACAATGTCAATGTATCTGGAGAGTTATGATAATGAATTACTATGTTAAAAGAAGAAGATACAATATGGTAAACTTTTAATATTTGGAATGTAATTATCACCTAAAGAATTCACACATTACATGACAAATGATCAACTAGGTGTATACTCGCCTTTATGATAAGTAGGCAGTATAATGCTGATGTATTTACCTTATTACTACAGAATTTAGAACTTTGTGAAGAATCAAACAGTAATTTGAAATAATGAATAGACATAAAATTAATTATAGTTTCAGAGTTCATCAGAATGTTTTTTGGCTGCATAGTGAAATGATTGAAGAATGTTGGATCTTATCTGTAGTTGCTTCTTCTTTTCTTCTGAGATCTTTCCATCAAGGAGTTTCTTTAACCTTTGTTGTTCAGTGTTGATGAAGTCATCCCCGGTTTCAATGATCTTGTCCATTATTGTTTTGTAGACTTTTCCAGAGAATTCATTCTGAAATCCAATTATTATTTATTGAGTAGAATAGAATAATTTATTTCATACTATCTATTAATATAATATCATGAAATTGTTTGCACAATATGATGTCTCAAGTTATGTTGGGATAAAAAAAAAAATACAATAGTAGTATAATTGAAGCCACATAAGGTGGTGGTGCCAGTGACCGACGAGCACCAGTGTTTGATATCTTTTTTAACCGACTTCAAAAAAGGAGGAGGTGCTCAGTTCGACTGTATGTTTTTTTTTTGTATGTATGTTACGCGATAACTCCAGTATTTGTGCACCGATTTTCATGATTCTTTTTTTGTTGGAAAGAGGGTACCTCCATAGTGGCCCATTTATTTTTGAAGAAAATCATCCACCTCCAAGAGTGGCTGTTCACGCATGCAGATTCATTTTTATAAATAGCGCCTAAATTTTATTACAAGGAGCAAATATTTTAATGGTTGATTTTGCTATTTTCTAATTCAAGGCGTTTTTCTCTCAATATACTTTGAGTAGTGAGAACCGATTTTTATTATCTCCTGTGTCGAGTTCCGTATAGTGGCGAACTAGGGGATGAATCCGGGTTTGCGCACTTTCCGGTAACCGAATTCAAAAAACTTTGCAAATAGATCTAATCCACGTACTTTTGAGGTCGGTTTTTTAGTACTCTGTACTGAGATTATTCGAATTTTAATAATCTAATAAGATTTAGGATAAAATTTTCCATTATAGTAATACGTTTTTTAAGGTCAATATTACTGGGTGTTCATTATTCTCTCTCTCACTAACGTTCGTTACGCGTTTGGTGACAATTGCGACTCTGCTTTCCTGTCTGAGCCACATATTTGTTTTGCAGTCTTTGAGTGTAATTCCCACCGTTTTTTCATAGAAGAACCCTAGTCAGTATTCTGAGGCTATTCCAGGCCAATGCTAGAGCCTTACAGTATTTACTGTTGTAGGTGTTCGTCCGTGTTTAATAGAAAGGGCGCAAGCGACATTTCGAAGATTTTTCAGGGTAGCATGTTTTAGGTTTTAATGACTGTTTTAAAATATTTACGTCGTTAAAACATGCCCCCCGAAAAATCTACGAAATGTCGCTTACGTCCTTTCTATAAAACACCTAGAGTTATATAGGGCTAGAGCTGTAATTGCTTAAACACTGATGGAAGCCATCAACTTTTTAAAGTGTTAATATAAGATTTATTTAATGTGAATTTGCTATGTTGAGAAAAGTGTTTCAATTGCATATACAAGTGGCATGTAACTGCAATTACAGAGTTATTGTTTAATAAGGCAATTATCATAGTTGAATAGCATTTTCATGCCTATTATAAAACCAATTGCATTAATTGACATTTGTTCAGGATTTGAGTAACAAGCGTCATTACAATAGTGTTGTAATCAGAAATATGTGAAATTCAAGATTATACTGTGCATAAAATTTGAATCTGTACACGTCAATACAATCATCGCTTGAATAACGTGAGAAACAATTAAAAGATAAACTTATCTCAAAATGAGACATACTATTTGTGAGCTAGTTCTAGACAAAATAGTCCTTTAATTTATTTGGCACGTAGGAAATTGTTTGGACATCTGTTATAAACTTTAACCTATACATAAATTTTAATAATCTTTCACGGACAGTGAGCAATTAATTTTTCATCTATTCTGAAAAAATACACTTTTTGAGTTCTATTTTTGAGCACTATTGTATTATATAACAGTGCGAAATACAGATTCAGCGAAAACAGATTTACAATCTCCTGCAAGTGTTTTTATGTTTATCTTATTTAGTTTCAGTTTTATGGTTAAGAAAAATCAGCATAATTGATAATCTGTTTGTTCACACTTTCAAAAATAAACTCAGAGAGCATATTTTGATACTGCAAAATACACCTGGAGAAATTTTATTTGTACAATGCACCAAGAAACATAAAATCATGAAGACGGAGTGAACTATTTGAAAACACTGTAGCCATATGGTAATTTTATTTCACTAAACTAATTATGTTATTTATGTTGTACTTATTATAATTCTCGTCCACAATTTTTATTTTATTTTTAAAATTGTTATTTTTTTACATTGGCCATTCTGACAACTACTAGGTAACTACCGATTACCCAAACTCTTCAGTACAGAACTACAGATATCAACCGAAGTCAAGTACTTGGGAGTAATACTAGACAACTAGTTGAACTGGAACAAAGATCTGGACAACAAAATTATAAAAGCTACTATCAACTTCTGGCAGTGCCATAGAATGGTAGGTAAACAATGGGGACTTTCACCCAAGATAACACTATGGCTCTACACAGCGGTGATAAGACCCATGATCAGTTACGACGCGATAGTATGGTGGCCACGAACCAAGCTGACGACCGCAACCGACAAGCTGGACAAATTCCAAAGAGTCGCTTGCATAGTGACGACCGGCTGCTTGAGGACAACTCCAACTGCGGCCCTCGAAGCGATGCTGGACCTTCGATCCCTCCCACTGTTCATCAGACAGGAAGCGGCGTCAACAGCAGTGCATCTAAACAGAGCCAGCCTTTCGAACCACATGAGGACCCCACACACAGAAATCCTTTATAAGACTGTCAATGAGGAACCGCTACTGGACTGCCTCCAGTGTGTGGATAGGATCCCAAAGCAATACATCTTTGACAAAAAATACAAGATACAATTGTTTGAAGATTTCAACGAAGGACTGAACCCCAGAGAGGTCGGAGTCTTCACTGATGGATCTAAAACAAATTCAGGAACAGGTTCAACTACGCTCAATGCCAGTCTATCTCGAATATTAATTAAACTTAAAAGGCAAGAGCTTCGCACTCTAGCTGCCACCCTAACGGGTCATGGTCCATACAATAAACACCTTTTCAATTTAGGTATCACAGACAGCCCTCTATGCAGAGCGTGCATGGAGGGGGAGGAAACGGCTGCGCACATCATACTTCAGTGCTCCGGTGTGGCCAACTACAGGGCAAAGTACCTTGGAGTGCCAAGGTCTCTCCCCGAAGTCTTCAGCAAACCAAGGAGGCTGCTTGGAGGAGCTTGGGTGGCACGAGTACGACCCTGCACCCACCACACGCAAAATAGGCGCCTTGTCGTCGAGTTGTGGATACCAGCCCATTGCACTAAGTACCAAGTGCCAAGTAGTACATTGGCCATTTCAAATAGGGTCCACTGAAAACCAGCACTGTGGCTCCACCGCAGTAATTGCTGAGTTGGGCCCTTTTCAGTGCAATACACTTTAAGCAGAAAAATCATAATATGCTGAATAAATTTATTTTTTTTCTTTCTATTTTTCAAAGAAAAAGAACCTATGTGCCAATATCTCAGTTAGCAAAATGTAAATGCATTAGTTATGACAAAGAGGTCAGAGTAATTTCAGGCGTCATTATTAATTAGAGCCTCAAGACAGCAAGATAAAAGGGATTCTGTTGTTAAAAGACCTTCAGAAGTAGTACAACTAAATTTGAGTAAATGTTTCCATACCTTGCTCTCCAAACCTTTTTGTATCTTCTCAACTTCTTTTACAACGTTTTTCTTTTCTTCTTTAGATGCCTTCATGAATTTGCCGGCGAGTTTGTCGAGCTCTTTCACACATCCTGGCAAACTAATGTAGACGCCTGTGTTCTCTATTACAAACTTTCTCAGAGCATCTGCAGTGAATCCCTTGCTTTCGTCAAAAGATATCATTTTAGGTTCTGCTTTGCCGCTTATAAACAGCCGCACGGCTGGGAAATTGTCTTTATGAGCGCCATACTTTTTGGCTAATCCTTCATTGTCTTTTTCTCCATAATCTTTCACGCCAACGTCGGCTACTAAAAGATCATCTACGTCTTTCGCTTCCTTTGCAAAAGTGGTAAAAGCTTCATGCTTCTCTCCGTAAGGGTACGCTACGTCGAATTTTACCAACGATGCTTTAAATTTACTGGTGATTTTATCAAAAGATATTTCGTCTAATTCGACTAGGCCGCCTGTAGCTTCGTAGACCGAAGGCGCAGCAAATACGAGGCACAGGAACAATAAACAACGTTGCATTTTTAGGTTGACACGTTGGCAACAATTTCAACTGCAATATTCAGTACACTGTGTTCACTTTCATAGATTTATTTCAATATTATCGGTCGATCAACCTCGCTTCTCGATTTTTATTGACAAATTTGACAATCAGCCGGTTAAGTATGTTCTCTACTACGACCAACATTACATTCCTTTATACGACTTTAGTTTACAGCACTTTCCTTTTTGTAGGCTACGTAATATTTAATTGAATAATAAACTAATCAAGTCATAATTACATAGGATTTTGTTTAATATCAGTTAAATAACTTTCTTGGGTTTGAAGTGTCAGGCTATTTTAGAGCTGGTTTTAAATTAAAGATTATTATTTAAATAGTTTTGCGTAAATTGAAACGCGCCTATGTATGTTATTTTTGTATCAATGACTTGTGTGTTGCTTGTATGAGGACCGTGGGCGCACGTGATTGGTTGAAAGTGATTAATTATGATGTTTGTTTTCATTTACATGTTTTAATCTGTGGCGATAATCTATTATTGCATGGAATGTTTGTTTGCCACGAAAGATCGTATTAAGAGCGGTTACACACGGCGACTATTAGGAGCGATGCAAGTGCGCGACTGTATCGATACAAACGCTCAATTACATCGCTACACTTGGCATTTATAGGCGATTGGATCGATGCAATCGCGCCGGCAATTCATAAACTTTGGTCGAGGTTTTCTCCGAAAATTATAGTAGTAAGACTCATAGGAGTATTACTCATGCATTCGAATGTCCTACATGTCCTATTTTAGGGGTAAAAAAAACGGTGTGCAACGGCCAAACTAACCAAAAATAGGTAGATCATTTTTAAATAACACATTTCGTAACTGGTTTTCGACGTCTACCATGTTCTAGTAACTGTAGTCAATTCAGCCAGAGCTCTGAGAACTGTTACTTCAGGTATTCTGAGTTCAATGCCTGTACAAACAATTTATGGAACCGACTTCGGGGTTTGCTGGGTAGCGTGACCATCACATGACTGTTATCTATAGTTTTTAATTTTGTTATAACACACCTAGATACTTATTTACAATACGGACGTAGGTGCATAAAATTCAGAACTTGGTAGTTACAGATCTGGACTAGAAATTGTGAAATTTTAAAGATCTAAATACTAAAGAATGACATAATGCACATCTAATTCTGTAGAAAAAAGCACAGATGCTTTGCTCTTGTTCACTCTATAAAAGAAATGTATAAGAATATTGGTAAATATCGACCCACAACAAAGCTGCAGGCCACATTTCAATGAATTAAATATTTTAACTGTAGGTTGTTTGTTTACACATTTTACAAAAGTAATATGCAAATTCATCAACAAATAAACACTTCCTCAATTAACCAAAAGACACCTATACTCAACCTCAGACATGAAGATAGACTAGTACTATCTGGCTCGAAATTAAAAATGTACAGCACCGGACCATTTGTAACGGCAAGTAAAATGTTCAATAGAATCCCCAAATCCCCAATCACAGAATAATTTATTTTCTCAATTATGCTCGGATATGTTTGCATTACTTTAAAAAAAACAAACACGGGAAGTTAGTCATTTATGGCCCGTGAGATTTCTATCCGGCCAAGGCCGGGAAGTAAGCAAGTGTATGATCTATAAGCAAGTATGAAAATCCACTAACTTTTATAAATCTAGATGAGCTATGTAAACAGGCACAGGAAAAACTCATACAACGAACTGCCCAGTGTTAGTTATTGCGAGAATTGAGAATACGTATAAGTACCGCTTACTTTAAAAAAAAGAAAAAGGCGGTAAAATAAAATAAAGTGAAATGGTCATTGACTTACAATGCAATGGCAATGGTGTACTTTTCTGATTTTTCGTCTTTTTTGTATTTTCGACTTGAATATAGGTCATTTGGCGAACAAGGCATTTTTTAAGAGTATGCCGTTTTGCGAATAGGTCGTTTGTCGAGTAATCCAAAATGAGCGAGACGAGAGGTAACGAAAATACAGTAATGGATTGTACTCCTCCTAATTTAAAACGAGGCAATATTAGCGATGGAAAACTTGTTGCCGGCATGAGCAAAGTAAGGTACATGAAAACTGAAACTTTCAATCAATAGCAATTGAGGTAAGGTTTGTTCGTATATATATCGTAATATGTAAAATTGAAAGATATTAGTTCCGATACTGTAAATCAGCTTAACAAACCTTTGTTCGTTTCAGGTTGCTCTAATTTTAGGGATAAACGTTTCATGCAGGAGTACAGAGCTCACGAATATCACCACAAAGGACATAGAATATCATAAATATATTTATATAATATTGTACTTTTAATATTAATTAATTTTGTTTTTTCAACTTTTTTATTATACATCTTCACCTCTTTAGTTTTTTATTATTTTCTCGCATTGTTTGAGAAAAGCACTATATACGCCTTGGCCGGAAGAGAAAATGGCGGGTTTTAATAGTTAAACTTGTTACGCGAATATATATATGTATATATTAATTCGCGTAAAATTATAAACATAATAAAATTCCTTTCCTTTCAATATTATCACACTAACCATCTCTTATTAATATAGCCGCGGTCGTAGTGCTGGTGATCTTCTTGTGTATCCGACGCACCAATGAGCAGCTACCATCGAGAGCAAGGGGGAAGCAATGGCCGTGAGCTTAGACATTGCTAAGGCTTTTGATCGTGTCTGGCACAAGGCACTTCTATCGAAGCTACCATCTTACGGGCTTCCAAAGGGGCTGGGCCCTTGGATCGCTAGCTTCTTATCTGAGCGGAGCTTAAAAGTCACTGTGGATGAATTGTGGATACATATCTTTGGCAGCAGGTCTCAGAATGTAGCCGATAGAATCTTGTCAAATTTAACCCCGCAAAGACACGCGATCACCGCTAAAAAATACCCATTTGTAATAGCGCCTAAGTTACAGAACACCTTTACTCTTTTCTCCTTATCATCTCTAAGAGTATTGGGATACTTGGACTCGACATCACGAACGAAGTCCAGTGACCCCGGAGGTCATTTGGAGAGCAATGTCGAACTGGCTTTCAAAAAGCTCGGAGTGCTCAATAGAGCGAAGCAGTATTTTTTGTTTTTACAATGGGGAGTGCTCTGAGGAACTTTTCAAACTGATGCCACCGTCTCGTTTCCATCATCACACCTCCCGCCAAAGGAATAAAGTCCATCCCCACATCTTAGATGCCTGGCATCTCGTTCGTTCCTTCTTCGAATCTGCAAAGTGTGGAATGATCTTCCTCCTGAAGTATTTCCTTTTGCGCTATGACATAGGGTTCTTCATAAAGCGTGTTTACAGGGCTCTCAAAGGCTGACGCCGCTACCAATCTTGTTCCCATTTTTCCACTTTTATCCCTTTCAATTACCATCACTTTCGTCTTACTCATATTCGCCTTCATTCTTTTTCTTTCAGATTGAAATAAACCAATTAAGCTTCAGTTTTCGCAACAAATATCTAGAAAGGTGCGCCATTAGCCTAATTCTTATTTTAACAATAAAAGGATTATTCTTATCGCCCAATCCTCAGTTTCAGAATCTATATCATTTTCCGGTCTGTCCATACCATCGACAAAATTTAAAGTATTTACATTTTTCAAACAAGTTGTATGTGTTAAGCGTACTTAAACTAAATCGTTTCAAACCACGTTGAAAGACATATTGTGTTGTAATTCGCATTTATGGTTTAACCACACATAACACATTTTTGCGAAATTCGCCTATGAAACGTACCAGATTTTGTGAAAAAAGTTTTTTGATTTAACAATTACTACGACTGTTTTAAAATATATTACTGAAAAGAATATTAAACTTTATATTACAAGGTATAAGACTGCATTTATAACTCATTTTACGATTTTCTGTGGGTTAACCATTGACTTACAAATAAATAAGTCAATGGGGTTAACACATTTATGCAGTACACGGCCCAAATATGGTTCTTTTTAAATGGCGGGTATTTTGTTTTTTTTTGTTTTTGTCAACAGATTGCCAGCTATAGCTGTAGAGCTGTAGAGTTTTAGTAGCAGTAGAGTTCCTTCTGAAAGAGTTCGTCCAGGGAAGTAGGGCCACCTTAGCTATTTCTGCCGCCAAGTAGTAATGCGAGTATCACTACGTTCCGGTTTTGGAGGGTAGGGGTGCTGGTGGTGGTAGGGTTCTTATAGGCACATGAGACTTGTCAAATTATGCCTCTGGGTGACGGGCGCAATGGCAGTGCCCCTACGATGTTTGCGTTTTAAAGCTTTGCATTTCACTACATTGCACTACCGTGCAATTGTTATGGACCGGTGTGTCGCTTACCACCAGGCTCAAGACTAATTCGTCCCGTCACTTGGTATTATTAAAAAAAACTTATTCCATAGATAATACAACTCGAATTAAAATATTAAAAAGGCGCATTATAGCCATGAAGGATTGTAAAGAAAAAAAATGTTAAATAAAATGTAAAAATAATTCAAATCAATTACAAGAAATTCTTAATAACGCACACACTCATCACACATCACATCACAACCTCTTAAAACAATATTACTTTAACCTTACACTGACTTTTCGTACCATAACGCGCTTAAAGTAAGCTTATTGTAATGTTAAAACTATGATGTTTTATTGGCAGCTTTGTGACTGTTCATTCCCTCAGTTCGTAGCATGACGCGACTTTAACGTTAAAGTAATATTACTCTTATGTCAAATTTAGCAATCTTAAAATAGTTACACGTATGCAACGGAAACAATATTATTTTCAGTTTTATTGTCTTAATTTGTGATGATTAAAAGTTAAGTTGAACTTATTTATTTACATATATCCCTTCAATATTTTGTTTATTTTTTATTTATTAGCACATAGTAAATATTTTTTCTTTAAATAAAAATACGCGACGTTTATTTCGTAAAATTATAACAGCGCCATCTATATGCTCTTTGGTGAAACTAACAGTTGACACTAGTCACTAGACTATCAAGACTTAGGACCGTATTCCAGAACTCTACTCAATGTTCCAGTCAGGACTTGAGTATGATTTAACGCACTAGAAATCATACTCAAGTCCTTGCCATTAGGGTCGTATTTCCAGTGCTTGAAATCATACTCAAGTCTGCTCAAGTCAGGATCTGAGTATGATTTCAAGCACTGGAAATACGACCGTAATGGCAGGGACTTGAGTATGATTTCGAGTGTTTTAAACCATACTCAAGTCCTGACTTGAGCATAGAGTAGAGTTCTAGAATACGACCCTCAGCTAGTTTTATTTATTTTTCTTCATGAAAATGTGGAATAATTATTGAAAACAACGTAATTTTAACAGATTTTCTTATTACATAGGTACTTTTCTTTATTTAACAGTCAACATTCTCTGAATCTTATTAACATTAAGTACTTAAACATTATACTACGTTATATATAGGTTATGGTAGACCCCGCCCTGGACCTCTGCGTGGCAGTCCGGCATGGTAACCGTTCGGCCACAGAGGCAGTTAAGTATTTAAGTATTATGTGGCTGAATTGCAATTACATTTTTGTTCAGAATACATTTTAAGCGAATGTTTTGATTTTGAACATATTTATGCAACCTCCTTGCTTGAACTTGAACCTGTCCTATATAGAGGAAGTATGTCGTTTTATGTCGTGCTACAAATTAAAAAAAATCTCCTTACCGACTATGGTTGATGGTTGTAATGGGAAGAAAAAAGGCCCGAGGGTTTCATTTGGGGCAAGAGTAAAGTTAGCCACCATGCAATCATACTATTTACGAGCAAGTGTGATGAAAAAGTAATTTTCTGGTTGTATGAGATTAATATAATTGAGAGACGTGGTCACGCCGCGCCACTCACGATCTCCGCCTGACATCCGTCCGAAACAATTACTGTCAAATAAGTAATATTCGACAAAATTACAAGACAAGTATCAAGAATGAAGCTTCATTTGCGTCACGCGTCTTTTCATTTGGTCAAATAGTGCTTATTTGGCAGTAATTGTTTCGGACGTATGTCGGACAGAGATCGAGAGTAGACCCCCCAGGGCCAGAAGAGTTGGCATGCTCAAGGGGAGAATTATGTCCAGCAGTGGATGCATGTAAGCTGATGACAAGTAAATCTTTGTTATTATTCGAATACATTCGTGTGATAATTCCAAAAAAATTCACGTGGTTTTGTTATAAATAAAATTTATAGCTCAAGAAATTGTTGAAATAAAACGGATAATAATAAAATTGAAACGACCAATCTTATTTTCATTTGAAATAGATTTGTTACAGTAAATTTCATAGTAAGAAATATGTTGAAGTGCTTTATATTATTTTTAGTGCATCTGCAATCTTATTTCTATATTGGGAATAGTAACGCGATTGGTTTGTATCTTATGACTGTATATATATTTTTATCAATCACAATTTGATCATCATCGTCATTATGTCCCAGTCATATCTAGTCTGACCTAGTGAGAGTTGGGTCGTTTGCTTACTCTGTTAAACCTACTGGTAGTACTAATTTAGTAAATATGCGACTAATTAGAAAAGATTCAGTGGTCTAGGCTCTTCCGTGGATATCGGATGGATATATATAACCAAGGAATTCTTAGGTAGTATGAAAGTTTTTATCACTGCTCTTACAATTCCATGCGGATGCATTTCTTTACAAAGTAAGAAAGACGTATCTATTTTGTTTGTAAGTCAATGTATCTATTGCATTAAAAATTTCGTTGCTTTTTCAAAACAACTGAACTTCTGGCTGTGTAGGTACACGACAATTTAGGATCCTTGTGATTGTAATTATATAGAAGATGTAAATGATGTGTCGAAAAAATACGAAATCGATCGTCTGCTTCCTACACATTAAATCGATTTTGCCTGATCACAAATGTTGATAGACAAAAAATACGACGTCGGTCTGTTGCTTACAAATTTACTCACTTGCTTACTAATTTATTTGATGCCATGTCGATTGTCAAAAATCTCAAAAAATTTTTTGACGATCGCTCTGTATAAAAAACAGTTAGATATTTTATGAGGAAAGAAACTAGCTACTTATTAGTTAGTATATTGTACAGGGTCAAGAGCACGTCAAGCTTGACACTTAAGATTTAAATCCAACTCTATGCCGCTGACGATACGAACGGTCCAAAGTACAAAGTGTCAAGGTTGACATGTTCTTGACTACCACTGTTATAAGTATTATAACAATTCTGTTATGAGGAAACAATTCTTTCAGTGGACCTATAATAACATTTTACACTAATCTTCATTGTACGTATTACGTTTTTTCTAAGTTTATACGTTTTTTATTTCAGATCTCAGTATAGTTCCTTTCGATGGTCCAAAAAGAGGTATGTAATGGTTTACAGTTGTTCTTGTGTGACACTGCAGTTTAAAAATAATAGTATCATGTAACTGGCCTGATTTCAGTTGTAATGAATGGTTACCTATCAGTATTATTATTTGAAACACAACATTAATCTATTTATTACCTACTAAAAAAATGAATTTTCACTTTTCTGGGTTGCTATTTTTCGGTAAGGGACAGCCTGTTTTGTATACATACATATACAGGCAGTAGAATGAACTACTTAGACTTTTTTTTGTATAATTTGATTTTTTTTTTATTAACGCAGGTCCAGAAATGACGGTAGAAGGAGGTGGAAATCAAGGTACGCATATAATTGTCGTTGTCTGTACAATTTAAAAAAAAAACTTTTTTCAAGCACCCGATCCGGTTTTCAGACTGTTTGTGGACGCCATTATCAGATTAATGTTTTAATTGGATCGTTTATTTATATAAAAGTCGTTACCTATGCACTCATGGACATATTTAAAAAATTGTTTGTAAAAAAAGATTGAATACGATAACAAAGTATGAGCTACTGGCCACATGTACCAGAATGTTTAATTTGAAGAGAAAAGAATGTTCAATCAATCGTCTTTTGATTTCGATTAAACGTTTCTGGTCTAATATATGCCGTGTATTCCCACTCGTCACAACTGGCTTTTGGTCCCACTGGCGACAAATGGAAAAAAAAACGGCTTAATCCCAGTTGTCACCACTGGCTTTGTTCCCACTGAAGATAACTGGAAAAAAATCCCATATTTTACCAGGTGGTGACAAACGGAATAAAAATCCCATATGTTACCAGGATTTTTTCCCATTTGTCGTCAGTGGGAACAAAACCAGTGGTGAGGACTGGGAATGAGCGGTTTGGAAAAACTTGTGTCTACATACTAACATTATTATTCCAATAGGACAAGGCATGAATTCCGACAGGGCAAAACAGTACTATGTAGAGAATATCAATATCGTACAAGAGGACATTGCGATGCGGTGGCCTTTGGGCATTGTACCTTACTATTTCGATTTGTCGTCCTATGGTGAGTGGACAAGGAACTATAAATTACAAACGCTTATATTATATTTGATTATATAGGAGATTGTGTAATGAAATTGCATGATATAATTCTGCCTTACCCATTCCATCATCGAGGGACTAGATGTAGGCTGGGGTTCCACCCCTATGTTTTGAATGTTCCAAAGATTCGCGTTCGCTCCCTTTACATGGCGAACGAGTAAGGAGTAGAATTCCATGCCTGCATACTTATTCCCCGAATTCTATAATTTTGACCTTTTCAATACGAGAATGAGTAGGCATTATAGTGTGCATACTACTTCGTCGACCTCATCGACTAAAATCTTATGACTAAATAAAGCAGACATGCAATAAAACCATTTATATACATTGCATTCTTAGAATAATAACGCATAGAATGATAGTCTCATATCAAACGAACTGTCACAAGTGAGGCAAAAATCAAATTCGTGTAGGCTAGTTTTAGTAGTAGACTAAAACTAGCCTACATGAATTTGATTTTTGTTAATTTTCGGTTTTAGTGAATATTTATATAAAAATACAAGTTGAAACGCGTTACTTCCTTGTGGAATGTGATGTTAGTATCTATTTTATGTTTGTCTGACGTATTTTTGACTCGTTTGTCGCACATTTCGTCATTTTTAACTAAAATTTTTGAGCTGTTCGCGGTGCAAGTTGACCTTGAGCACTGACGTCCTGCCCGCTCGTGTAGGCCCATTGGGAGCGCTTAAATTTGCCTCACTTAGCGTGTGCGGACTAGGTTTCTATGCGTTATTATTCTAAGATTGTATCAAAATAATATATTTTCCGGAAAACAATTTGTATTTTGTTATTGCTGCCACGAGAGAGCTAAGCTATTAACAGTTCTCTTCCGTAGTTACAATTAGCAACTCATTTTTTTGTTAATTAGAATAAATGTTATCATAATCATATTATTACTTATATGTAAATTAATGATACATTAAAATAACTTCATTCTTATTACATATTAAACAAAATAAACAGTACCTGACTTCAGTTAAGACGAACACAAAAAACGTACTATAAGTTTAGTTACGAGCCTTACAACTATAAAAAGATACTTCAATTTATCATTCAATTTTATAAATGGAATGTAACGTTTGACACTGAGATAGAAACTAAAATTCAAACTAAATGTTTTATACATAAAAAAAACACATTAATGACGTTGCTGGGTTTATGGTTATTTGAAGGTTCGTAGAAAGTTGGGAACCCTCTGAAACATTGGATTGTGCATTGTCCGCTGCGTAGCAGTGTCTGGCTGAAGGGAGATTTTAATTAGAGACGTTAAAGAATGGCATAAATGTAACAAATTCGTTGCCTCATGGTAGTTGGTGGCAGTAGGGGTATCCCCAATTCGTTCATCGATGATATTATTATAAGGAGCGCGCTCCTACCTACTCGTGCGTGAACTCATTGATAGGATGTCATAGAAGGGATGGATGTTAAGATGATTTATGAAGTGTGTGACATGATAGATGATAAGTAGTTTTTACATTAGGGTTAGGGATACCTGAATACAGGAAACAAAAGGATTATACATTGGATTATACGATTTTCACACATTATTTGATTTTAATAAACCGGGACTTAATTGCGTATAAATATATATTTTATTTATCTCAACGTGTCGGACGTGTTGCAACATCCATGGTCTCGAAGAGACTCAAGACCATGGATCCCTTTGAGCCCATGGAAGTTGCAGCATTTTCCGCATCGTCGAGGTAAATAAAATATATACTACTTACACAGCAGTTTCTTACGCTTGGAATGGATTGTCACTGATATGGTTAAATATTCTAAATTTCCATGTTCTAAAATTACAATACCTGTAACGAATCCCAGCAGTCGCTCCAAATCTTTTTTGTATTTATTTTATAGTCTCTTTAAGTTTTAGTTTTATATTTAAATTCTAGATTTAAATGTGACTGTTTTTGGCGCCTTTTCTTGACTTTTGTTTGCTGTTTTGATTTGATATGCTCACTCGTTGTTAGCACCCATCCTTTAACCCATTGATACAGTCCGTTATAATATTTACCTTATGTCTCGATGTCCTAAAATAAATATTTAATTACCATACTTTAACAAGGTCATGGCTGAATAACAGAGGCTGTGAATTCCCCGCGACCGCTGAGTCATAAACCGTTTTGTCTTGTTAATTAGCGCTGTCTTCGATTTTATTATAAAATGTATCACTGTTTTCAAGACAAATAAATGAGTTTATTAGTATTATTATTATTACATTTATTCGCGACTAAGTTCTGATTTTTTTTAATCGAAAGTATTAAGTCAATCGTAGTAACTGGAGACAATTTTATGGAGCAACTTTAAACGCTATAAAATTTGTATAAGTAGGTAGTTGTGGATTATCGTATGCGCATAAATGAGTTTGAGAATGTTAATTCAGAACTTTTTAAGATTTTTAATATTAACCACAACACTTTTCTTTAATAAAATATGGACTATAATGTTGGATATGAAAATATTTTTTTCGGATTTAAATTGCGTATATATTTGTTTTTTCAAATTAATCAACGTTTCGTCGCGTTTACTGGTTCTACGCTGACGGTTGACTCAGATTGACATCGAATAAGGGTCCGAAACGTTATTTTGTTTGAATTATAAATATACGCGATTTACATCCGAAAATATAGTTTTATTCCAATGTGTAACAATTGCGAAAGCCTCAGAAATTCATATGTAGAGAATGTTATTTACATTACTTGGCAAACATTTGCATTAAAATTGTAAGTCAATGATTAAAATGTTAAGATAAATTATAAGGAAAAATATAAAAAGATTTTTTTTTCCATTATAACTCATTCTCATACAAGTAAAACAAATACAAAGGAAGGCATGATAATATTAAAAAAAAACAGTAAGAAAAAGTAATTATTAATACAAATATCGAACACTCAGAAAAAATTCCTTCGATCCGGTCGGATTCGAACCGACGTCTTCTTGCATACCGTGCCAGACGCTATACCAACTAAGCCACGGAACGAACCAACGGACCTCACGAATTTTTCTATGTGCTTGCGTCGTGTCTTTGTACTTGGTCTTTCAACGACTTTCTAGTCGTACCGCCATCTATGAGAAATCTATGACAGATTTATCACCCAGTTAGTACCTTTACAGCCACCAGTCCTGGCGAGAGATGTCGCTATTGACTCTATTAATTAAATTTTTATTGAATTGATATTCAATTATTTTTTTGTGAAATTACGCCAGGACTGGTGGCTTTGCTGTATTTATTTATGAGCCGATGCAACCTCAAACGGCTTTGGTTGATTCCGCATAACAGTGAAAGCGTTGAATCAATACTTTAATAAATAATAAAATTGAGGATATTCACTGATTACTATATGATGTGAAAACAAGATTCATAAAAATTTTTATGGTGGAAGAAAATACAAACTTACTTTGAATTTTACAAAAAAAAAAACGCTATATTCAATAGACACTTTACATATGGCAATTTTATTTTTATATTGACGGAACTAAATAGAACACGTTTAATATACGGTCTATATTTTTTCAAATGGCTTTAATTTCGTTTTGTAAAAAAATAACTCTGAAGCAAAGCCAGTTGAAGCCACTGTCCCTGCAGCTCAACCCACGCAAAATGAACTGTATTAGTACGGGAAAAATTTGAATTCCAGCTGAGGCAGTGTCGATTCTTAACAATTAGTTATTAGTAGTTATCTAATATAAATCTAAATATATATATATAATAGTTAAATAAATATGATAATTAATATAATATAATAATTATGAAATATTACCAGATTACGTGATGAACTCCCGAACACGTGAAGCAATGGATATTATAGAGGCAGTCTCCTGTGTCCGTTTTACATCAGTTCTACTGAAGCCTGACAACAACTCCTGGATTCACATCACCAATCCTGATGGGGTTCGCGAATGCATGCATAAGCCTATATATAAAGGATTTGAAGTTGTAAGTCTTTTGTATGTTAAAAAAACAAAATTTAATAATAACGGGCACACATTCATAGCCCCCCACTAGGGAAACCGTGTATCGCGGGTGCCATGGACACACACATAGACAACCACAAATTACAACCAAACTCACGAGAAAAATAAATAAATGTAGACCATACAAATATTTCTCCCGGCATGGGAATCGAACTCGGGACAGGCAGGCAGTTATTTTAGTAGCTGTAGATCACCTTGTGAAAGAGTTCATTCAGGGAAGTACTACCACCTTACCTATTTCTGCCACCAAGCAGTAATGTGAGCATTACTCTTGGTGGCAGAAATACCCATTCACTACCTGCATGGTAGTCCGCCGCGCAGGCAGGAGACTGCTCACACACTATCGTGCGTATGGCGCACGTACGGAGTCTCGTAGGATGCATTGCGGGATAGCGTGCACGTTGCGACTACATTCATAATCCTGCATTATGCAGCGTACGGCAAGGCAGACTGCAATTCAGGCTAATGAATGAGCATTCATTATCCTGAACTTAATAATTCATCTGCAAATTGCATATAAAAAACAGTGATGCGAGTAAAATTTTGATGATGACTCCTGAAAATATCTAATTCAGGAGGCACTATTCATAATATTTTAGTAAATATACGTAAACGTTTATTTATACATTTTTTGTGAAAGTATTCCACTAATTCACTGATCAACATCAATACAAATCAGATCATGCAAAACTGTTCTACTTAGAGAAAGCGTGGTTGTACCTAATGGCTTCAAAGGTCTATAACAAACTTCCGATTGAAATAAGGATTTGCAATAACGCTACAGAGTTTATGACAATGTTATTTAGTTAGCTCAATGATATAACATTCTACAATATTAGAGATTCCGTTTAAAATTGACATTGTATATTATTTGTTCTTTTTAATTTTTGATATTTTGGTTATTTCAGTATTGTGACCATTGACTTACAAATAAATGGACGACGGGTCTAATAAAAAAACCACGAAAAAAATGTCCGAAGTCAACCTATTAGAAATTTAAATTGTAATGTCATCGCAGTATCGCGCTGTCAGTAGAACAAATGAAGACTAATTGTATATATATAAACTTTTTGTAACACCTTTCGTAACCTGTGTATCACAAACAAATAAATGAATATGAATATAGTTTGTTATTATAATTGATACAAATATTGATCAAACTAAAAGAAGAATTCCTTCGATCTGGCAGAACTTGAACTAGCGACATTTTCGCCTAACCCGGGCTATCGCTCTCTCATCTGAGCTACGGAGCGAGTCAGTAGATCTTACGAATTTCTCTATGTACTTGCTGCTGATCTTTGTTCTTGGTTTTAACGGCTTTTTGTCGTAGCGCCACCTGTGAGGCAACTGTGAAAGTTTTTCTTTGCTCATCCATACAAATACACATAAAGTTTATTTGTTTTCGTCTTTATTTGCTTCGCTAGCTTCTTCTTCTTTTGATCAGAGTGTTATATTGTCCCATACAATACGAATATGTTAGTTTTTAAAAGCGATTTACATAATTCGATTCCAAATTTCATTTTCGATATTGTCAGGTAAATCAGTAAAAGGTGTTTATGTAACGTGACCATACGTTCCGCTTTTAAACTTCGTGTCCCGCTATCCCCAAAACACTTAACAATGTCCCGCTTTGACAAAACGGGAAACGCGTGACGTTAATTTTTTTTTAAATGGCTGGAAAGCGAAAAATATACAAAAGCCAGCCCACCAGACTACACAAGATTAGTAGCTTTTTAATTTTATGATTGATAAACATTCTTATTTCTTTTTTATTTTTTTTTAATCATTAAACATTTCATAACTATCATGAACATACGCCTTACTTTTTGAACTGGTATCTTAAAGCACAAAATTACTGAACTGCACTTTCCTTCATATTCATACACTGGCTTTTACCCATTCTTAAAATAATGTATCAAAATCAACACCCTTGATAAGAAATTTAAAATACATAGAAAATTTTGCCATCTCGTAAATAATCACTCTTTTTAAGATACGAGGTTGAAAGTAAAGCATCGTATATGTTTTATTTTTAAAACAATAATAAATTTACGGGCGTATATAACAACATCAAGAGCTCTAATAAATGTTTTTAGCCAATATAATTGAATATATTTTATTTACAACAGATTGTGAACCTCGGCTTGGAATGTCTGACCCGGCGCGAGATTGTGCACACACTGCTGCACGCCATCGGTTTCCCGGACGAAGTTACGCACCCTCAGCGAGATCAGTACATTAGGGTCGTATGGGAGAACATCCAACCAAGTAAGGAATTTACCAAGTTCTCATGAAAGACGTTAGTTTAACGTCAGTGGTTAATCCTAGATGAACTGGCTAATACATATACAAGTACATTATAGGTACATTTAGTAGCAGTAGGGTATAGTGGGGTGAATACGGACGCGGGGTAATTTCAGACGCAATCGTTTCTAAAAGTCTAGTTTCCCCCCGTGTCCCGCTATCGCGATCTTTCGATCACATCCACCATTGTAGTGTGTGGTTTTTACAGTTTCGAGGATATCTTATAAATACGGCACTAAAAATAAAGTAAATTTACAACAAAACACATGAAAAAGTCTTTGGACTTTTTTAATAAAGTAAAATTACAACAAAACACATGAAAAAATTTATTTTTATTGCCGTGTACACACTATTATGTGAGAATTAATGAAATGTTACGTTTGTCATAAATATTTATAAGATGCATCCTCGAAACTGTAAAAATATGAAAATCGTACGTGCTAGCATAACATCAGAAGTATTACGTAATTAAATAAATTACGATTGGGGCAATTACAGACTTGGGACTTGGGGCAAATCCAGACGTCTGTAATAACCCCAATTAAGGTTTTAAATAGATTAATCTAAAGGAGACCGATACGCTTTCATGCAATCTTGACCCAAGAAGTAGGAAGATGAAAGTAGTATCAATTAATAGCTTTTATATTGTCCAGTGGTCGTATGACAATACGTTTATATATGTATAATATATTTTTACCCGCATTTACCCGACATGCACCGGGTAATTACGGACAGAAAGCCTTTCGTTTTTACTTCAAAATTTTATATATCTTGATTATTTAAAGATAAAAGATTATGGTAATTTTATAAGGTTATAAGCAACGTTTAATTATAATTAAAAAAATATTAATTAATGCTAATAATATGATTTTTATTTCGACATTCGCTTATGTGTCCGCAATTCCCCCTCTCTCCCCTAGAGCTCCTTGTGAAAGAATTCGTCCAGGGAAGTACTGCAGAAGGGTGAAATTACAGGCACATGGGACTTGTCAACTTAAGTCTCAGGGTGACGGGCGCAGTGGCGGTGCCCAGATCTTTCCGATTTAAAGCTCTGAGTGGCACTGCAACTGTTATGAACAGGCGTGTAGCTCACCATCGTACGCACGACCTGTTCGTGCCGTCACTTAATATTATTTAAAAAATGCACCATATATAAATATGGAGTATAATGTACGTATAAGTTTTATTACGTTACATTCGATGGGTACCCATCGAGTAATTCGATTTGCATGATTACATGATTCATCCGTTCCGTTTACATGATTCTTTAGTAGCAGTAGAGGTCCTTGTGAAAGAGTTCATCCAGGGAAGTACTGCCACCTTACCGATTTCTGCCGCCAAGCAGTAATGTGAACATTTAGAACAACATCTGTTGTTCACATTTTATAATAATGTGAACAACAGAACAATTACACAACCGCTTTTGAAGACTTGTCTAAATTTTCCCTTTTAAGAATGGATTAAGCGAAGTAGTTTAAATTATTTTTAAGTTCGTGAACTAATAATGCATGGTACACAACACTATTTAGTTAGTCGACCGTGACCTTGGGCTCTATAGAGAGCCCGAAACATAGTTATGTTTGTAAAAAATAAATATACGATTCATAATAGTTAAAAATACTTTAATTACGAACTCAACTATTTTTTGGAGATGTTCTTCTCAACTTAAAAGTCATTTACTTTGTTCCTAGGATACAAGATTCTGTTCCGCAGACAGCCTGACGAAGGACCTTCGAAGTCCCTGGTGGAATTCGATCCAATGAGTATTATGCAATTCCACGACCGCGCTTTCAGCAGAAATGGCTACGCCACTATCGCCGGATTGGTAAGAAACGTACCGAGATTTGTTCTTAATACCGGAAAAACTAGTATAAGCGACCTTAGTAGAGTAATAATAATATATTTTTATTATTTATTTTAGTACAAACAGTCATTAGTCATTATAATTTGAATTAATACAGAAATTTGAACTATACTATGGACAACGAGTACCGAATATTACACTTAAATATTAATAACATGTGCTAAAAAGGGTTTAAATATATAAGTAGAATACAAAATAAATGCGTATTTGAACCAAAAGTGAATGGTTAACCATATGGGTGCTTAGATAAATTGCTACCTAGAACTAAAGACGATTAAAACAAAACTAATTAACCGGGATGTAAACCTGCGACAACAGGCTTCATATATAGATAGACTGTCCCGACTAGGCCGCTAAGCCGTATCATTACTACTAAATAATTTGTTGTGGATGCTTACCTTAAATCTGTACAATGAGATAGATACCAAATATATCCGTGTCACAAAATGTATTATTATATAAAGATAACGAACGATGAAAGTAACTGTTTCTTATATAATTCTTACGAAAATTTTTATTTAACGTTGGTTGGTGCTTGTAAACGAACTTTATTTATAAAATTAGCCTGCGATAAAAGAGTCGGTGAATCAACCATATTGTTAAGTATTTTGTAGAGAAAAACTATGTCAGATTTCTTACGGCGACTTTGTCAGGTAAGCAATTTATTACGATTAAGAGAGTATTCGTGTGGTTCAATTGGACAATTAGTACGAAAATTAAGAATCCTGACGAATTACCGTAGGACTCTTTCTATTCGATCGATATTACATTTGTAGAATGAATAATATAAAATTTTAAATGTTATGACTTGCTTAAACGGTTTGGCAATGCGATTAATAAAGCCCAGGCTTTTAAAGGCTCGACTGAGTATTGTATCAATGTGCGAGTTGAAAGATAGTTGGATATCCATGACAATACCTAAATCTCGAATGGTTCTTACTCCTTTCAAAATAGAATACTCAAGGGTATAATTATAATATTGGAGATTTTTTGCGGGTATAAGTTACGTTACATTTGTCTATATTTAAGAAAAGTTGATTTATGGTACAATACTCTGAGAGAGTTGCGATGTCTGACTGTAGCAACTCATAATCGCTAGGTGAGACTACTATTCTCCTAAAATTTGGTGTCGTCTGCGTAAAGCAGATGATTTGAGTGGAGCAAAGGGTCTCCTAAATCGTTGATATAGAAGGAAAATAGTAGCGGACCTAAATGGGAACCCTGCAGGACACCCGAAGGAATTGGGAGGAATTTAGAACAATAACCCCTCAAAGAAATCACCTGACTTCGGTTGCCTATGTATGACTCAACCCGTCTAAGCAAACTGCCATGTACATCGATCTTGTTAAGCTTTTTTATGAGCAAATCGTGATTAATTTTGTCAAATGCTTTGGAAAAGTCGGTGTACTCGACGTCTACCTGTAAGTTATTATCCATAGCGTACAATAAATAATTAGTAAATTGAATCATGTTTGATTCGACACAACGTGACCTCATAAACTCGTGCTGGTGTTCCGAGATAAAATTTTGAACAGAATGGAACAATTGCGCAGTTACAATCTTTTCGAAAATCTTGCCAAGAATGCACAGTTTAGAAATAAGTCGGTACTGGGTGATTTGATCTTTTTGATTATTTTTAGGTATTGGGGTTACGAGAGCCCTCTTCAAGATAGAAGGAAAGACTCCCGTACTCATAGATTGTTTAATGATACTTGTGACGGGTGTAAGTAAATCTGCGGAACATTTCGAAATTATAATTGGGTGAATACCATCTGGTCCGGCTCCTTTGTTAATATTGACGCATTTGAGCTCCTTCAAGATAATGCTAACATTTAGTTCTATCGAGTTGATATCCACTGTAGTACTAGAATAGTAAGAGTTAGGGAAGTAATTTTGTTGTTGTGAGGATGACGATACAAATGCAGATTGCGCTACCTTCTGACAGAACATTACCATTGTAGATCATATTTTGAGGGATGTCACCAGGTTGTTTTTTCGCCTTAACATAAGATCAAAAATATTTAGGATTTTGTTTGATTCTTTCCTCACATAATGTATTATAATAAATTTAGCACTCCTGTTTCATTTTACGTAACCTTGACCGGAGTTTGGAGAATGTATTGTAATCCCGATGATTACCGTATTGTTTCAATTTTTTATTTCACGTTTCTCGTTACATAATTTTATAAGTGGACGTGTATACCAGGGAGGATATTTATCGCTATTATAAGCAATACGAGTAGGTACATGTTTTTCTAAAAGTTTATTAAGCATTTAATAAAAAAAAATCAATCGAAGTTCTACGTCAGGCATTGAGGAGAAAACATTATCCCAATCAACAGTCTTAACTCCAAGCGAAATGGCTTCAAAGTTTGTCAGAAAAAACATTTTTCTCGAAACACGTTTATATTTTAGGAACATAGGAAGACTTAGAAGTAAGTCAATATCTAGGGCTTTATGGTGAGGATCTTCGGGTACTAAAGCAAAAGGAGAACATTCGACTTTATAAAACTTGCTACAAAATACAAGGTCCAAGAGTCTACTATTATTATTGTATATGCAGTTACATTGGGACAATAAAGATAGGCTTAGGAACTCTCTCGTCATAGATGTAAATAAATAATTATTGGCACGAATACACATATTTAGGTTGTCGTCATCATAGTCCCAGAAGGCATTAGTTACATTAAAGTCCCCTAAAATAAGAAACAAATCGTCCGGGTAAGAATGTATAATATCGCAAGTCCTATCATAAAACGACTTGAGAAGCGATTCATGGCGCGGACCGTGCGGTATGTAGGTAGGTCCATTAGTTTTAATTTTGTGGCGTCACTTTCTCGTTTCTGTTCTGCAATGGATGATTTTAATTGTATCTGTTCTTGCTGTAAATTATAGTTGGTTATTTAATTATTTAATTACAGAAATTTCATTTTTTATGTCACAAAAATCCTTTCGTAATTTAATCAGAATATCGTTTTGATTGTCTAAATGTATCTTTAACGAGGATAGAAGATCCTGCCGAAATCCAGATAATGTTTTATTAAAATTTTGTTGGTAATTGGACAAAGTTTCCTTTAATTCACGGCGAAATTTGGTGACAACAACGGTCACAAGTCAGGGGTCTTTCTTTTTCTGTTCGTAGTATTGGTAGAAAAATCACCGTTGCTTATTGTCGATAGGCCAGGGGTTGATCCTGCACATTTAGCCGGAGGACTATGTTGCAGACTCATTTTTCACTTTTTTTTACTTATTGAGTAATATGGCAAATAAAAACACGAAACGGCGCGCACAGCAAGATAATAAGCGGGTAGAACGTTCACGGAGCACAGTAAATCACACTAAGACACCAGGTATATATAAACAAATGTTTCACAGTATTTGAGCGGAATTGCGCTTAGTGAGTCTTAACTGGTACGATAAGTTTAAAGTACTTAATTCACAAATATGATGCGTTTCAAATGATGTTGTTTGAGTACAAACAACACACGTCCGTACGGTAAAAAGCCCGACAATGAATAATATACTAAACTATAACACCAATTCCCTGGTATTAATAAAAAATGATATTTTATAAAATTTAATTGGAGCAACAAAATGCTATCGATAGCAATGTAGAGTCATGTGTTTGTATCCGAGACGTACAGTGCTTCTATTTTCTCAATGTCTCTCGGCAAAGTTTGTGTTTGGGCTGTAGTCGGGTTTCAATCAGTTCAAAAATTGGAAAGATATAGTTCACTTTGCCTTTGGTACAACAGGCCGGTCGCTTTCAGTTGACTTGGAAGTATGAGTTGTTGTTACATTTTCGTTTATTATACAATGGGAGGAAAGCCGCTAAAGTCACAAGCACGAAAGATAATTTACAGCGTGTACTTACAAGAAGCCAATATGTTCAAGAAAGACAGTATTTTTTAAAAGTCCAAAAACGTGTTTCTGTAGCTTGTGGAGTTTCTATCGGAACAGTACAGAATATGATAAAAAAGTTAAAATCAGTTCCTTTTCAGACACCCAAAAAGGTACGAAAGAAGTTCATTAATAATCGGAAAAATATTCAGTTTTAGGGTTGATGATGAAATGTTATTAAAAATAGAGAAATAGTTTCTTAGCTCTATACAGTTCACACGGAAATGAAAATAAAACAACAATAACGTATGTTTTTCAAAATTCAAATTACTATAGATTTTAAATCTCATTATTAATGAGCAAAGAAATTAATACTCGTGTGCATTCGGAAATCGATAATTGCCGAAGAACATTGAGAATATAGAAGCACTATACTCAAACGTATCACATGTCAATCTCAAAAAAATCACTAACCAAATCGTTTTCCTTCCTTCCTTCTTTCCCTTCCTTCATGTTTATTTTGTTTTCTCGCTGTTTGTCATCTGTAGTAAAAAATAAAGCGACAAAACTATGAATCAGCAAATGTAATTATCGGGTATATACCTGATAATTATCATAATAATTATCAAAAGGAGTGTAATTGCATCTGCATACGTCATGTCTGCTCGCCACAATAGTCGTTCTGTTCAGCGTGTGAAAACTACGAGCCGTTTTCTTTTATACCAGTGAGATAGCAATACATACGTCTCACTCTTGCTATCGCGTATTTTGATAGGAGCGAAATAGCAATACATTTGTCTCGCTCTTACAAATAATGTAGGCTCTCTGATTGGTTGATTGTGTATTATACGCTCAGAGAGTATACTATTCAGCTCTCTTACATCAATATAAGTAGCAATATTTGCCAATCAATGCATTCTAGTTTGATGTTATTTATCAAAACTGTAGCAGCCACAGACGTGCCAGAATGTCTAACCCTCTTCCGACATTCAGGCACGTCTTAGTGCTAGCAAAAGTAACAACCATGCCTTGTGAATCAGCATAAGACACACGTACCAAATTAGTATAAATAAGTAGCTCAAGCAACATATATACATTAATATACAGTCAATTACCAACCCACGACTCGTCTATCATTCTCCACTAAACTACCATGGCGAAGTGGTGACCACCAACACCCTTTCACTTGCGCCATGGTAAAAAAACCATTGATAAATGGATGTGAATATAACTGCTCTTATATGTATTGTGATGAAAACAAAATCATGTTTCAGTTGCCAGGTCTCCAAGTAAGGCCTTCAGAAGGTCTATCGCAACTGGACAAAATGAAACTACGGCTGTTGTTCGGCCATGAATGCAATAGGCGAAGTGTTGATGACCTTTTGGACACATGCAAGAAGGAATTTCGGAATGACCAATCAGCCAATGGAGCTCAAAGTTCAGACGAAAATAATAAAGATAAATCACCACCTAAAGAAAGTTCAGTAGTATCTGACAATGAGGGTGATGATGGTAACGATGTAGTGAAAGTCGATGGTACCAAAAAACCGGTTGCTTTTAAAGACGAATCCCAAGAAATACAGTCTGATGACGGCGTAATTGATGGAACTATAGTTAATAAACATTTGCTTCTTAAAGATGAAGTCACCGAAAATATTAACGACAAAGATGACGATAACGACAAAGATATCGGTAACGACAAAGAAAGCGCTGACGACAAAGAAAACGCTAACGACAAAGATAACGCTAACGACGAAGAAAACGCTAACGACAAAGAAAACGCTAACGACAAAGAAAACGCTAACGATAAAGATAACGCTAACGACAAAGAAAATGCTAAAGAAGGCTCTGTACCATCTGGGATTGACGGTGCAGGTAATGACGCAGAGAATGACGGTGATAATAAGAATCCACATAAGCTAAAGACGGATGATGTTGGAACGCAGTATGAAGCTAATGAGATTGATGAAGATGTAATAAATTTTTCACATAATGATGACAATTCCATAGTCGATAGAGGAAACCACACTCCATTTCATTTAACTGAAAGTGATCATGACAAGGAACAGCCAATAAATAGTTACGAGAATTCTAATATCGAAATAGATGATAGAATTGGGACAATAGCTGAATCGAAACGAAGGAAGTTAAAAAAATATTAAAATTGGGTAGTGTCACGTTTTTAACCGACTTCAAAAAAAGGAGGAGATTCTCAATTCGATTGCGTGTTTTTTTGTATGTATGTTACGCGATAACTCCGGTATTTGTGAACCGATTTTCATGATTCTTTTTTTATTGGAAAGAGGGTACCTCCATAGTGGTCCCATTTAATTTTGAAGAAAATCATCCACCTCTAAGAGTGGCTGTTCAGGCATGAAGATTCATTTTTATAAATAGCGCCTAAATTTTAATATGAGGAGCAATTATTTTAATGGTTGATTTTGCTATTCTGTAATTCAAGGCGTTTTTCTCTCTCAATATACGTTGGGTAGTGAGAACCGATTTTTATTATCACCTGTGTCAAATTCCGTATAGTGGCGAATTAGGGGATAAATCCGAGCAAAAAGCTTGGCAAATAGATGTAATTCCACGTACTTTTCAGGTCGGTTTTTTTAGTACTTTGTCCTGAGATTATCATTTGTTTAATTTTGTATTGTTCGCTATTATTATCTATAGTGGAGTTGCATATCAAAAATTTCTAAGACATGCAAACTCGCATCATTTCATTGTGGTGGATATTCCGAGTCGTCAGGAATTATCTTTCATTCAAACCAATTGAGGCTTAACTCTGTGGCAATAAATTATAAATTATCGTACGTTGATTACTTTAATTTTAGCATAATGTCTAAATTTGGTTTTTAATATTTCAGTAATGCAATACGTATATAAAAATAAAGTCATAAATAAAAATAAAGCAAATAGAAAATAAAATAAAACGAAATTTATTTAAAATCAGGCTTCTTCTTTCTTGCGTTTTAGACATTCGTCGAAATAGATCAAATTCAGCTTTTGGACATCTGTCGCACTTAGCCCTTGCCAGTGGCCCATTGCCCAACCATCATTCTGCAAAAGACAATAATATCAATAATAAACCTTAAACTTGTTCGACTAAAATTCACTCTAATGCAAGATATTGTTAATATGATTTAGTACCCAAAAATACCCACAGGTGTATCTGTATTGCTCAGTTTGACAGCTACGTTTCATGAATGATCATTTGCTATAGTCTGTGTCATTCAATCCATGGAGTCCCCTAATCCCTGCGTTAACAGACCAACCTAATACTTTTAAAGTTGGCATAAGCCGAGGTTATCAACGCGAGCCTACATTTTAGGAGGTGAGGTGTGGGGGGCCACCCCTCGCGTCCCGCAATCAGCACGTTGAAATTTAATATGAATAAAATAAGAACAGGCGGAGAAAATTTGACATTACTTCTTCTTTCTTCAGCTTTCTAAGTGAATAGTTTTATCCTACGATGCAGTAAAACTATTTCAAGAAATTCAGAATTCGAAAAAGTACTTAATTAATATGTGGTGGTTTTAACTACTCCATTACACGCCTTGTGTCTGTATGTAGACATTTATCTACTCATTTGGATCACCCTATTCAGAACGTCGGTGATCAGCAGGAATCGGAATAGGCACAGTTTTTTTACCTAAACTTCGAGGAACATTGACAGAAAATGGAGACAGCCTTACGACAATATTTTTTAGGCCTTGGGCCTGTTCGGGATTCGGAAAATCACTTACGTACATTAATCACTTAGACGCATTTTCTGACACGTGTAAGTAGTGAATAGGCAGGTTTGGGCGCGCGTTTAGTGTGCAAATCTATAGAAGATAGGTCTAATTGTACGTCTGTAGTGATTCCAAGACTGGATCGACTAAGATTTTGTAACGATGGGGCACTAAAGATATAGGTCCCATAAAAAAACACATTTTATTTTTTTCCTACTAAACTATTACATTAACGCAAAATGTGATATGATAATATTTATTAAGGACAATAGGATCTCTCGGTTGGCATTTGTTTTAGAGGTATCGTGAAATGATGTCCGCAATATTGCCGATCCGATCCACTGTGTAGCAAAGTTAAAATAAATATAGTGTACCTGTCTGTCCCCAATTACGTAAATTTTTGATGTTCTTAAGTGATTTACCAGATCCCGAAAAGGCCCAGGACCTAAAAAATATTGTCGTAAGGCTTTCTCCATTTTCTGTCTATGTTCCTCGAAGTTTAAGTAAAAAACTCTACCTATTCCGATCCCTGGCAATCAGTGGTGATCACTAATAAAAGCACTCTTTTATCGCCTAAGATTTCTTATTCCTTTTCTGAATTCTCGTATTCAAGATGCTGGAAGAGGTAAATATTACGTAAAATTGTATTTTGGAAAAATATCTTACCCAAATAGGATACATGAGGTTCGTAACGCCATTTTTAATTTGAAGCCACGGGAAGTGCATCACACTTTGATAATCATATGGGAACCCAGCAGACGCTGCTGGCGGTTGCTTTCTCTGCAGGTCTTCTTTAATGTCTATAAGAGGTTGATCTTGGTAATCAGTTTTTTAGAGAATAAGAATAACACGAAATCTGTATTGAAAACTTTTAACTGAAGTCAGATACATGTAATAATAATTATTGGAAAAAAAATCCAATAATTCAATAAAATTTCTGATTCCAAATAATAGGATTCCACGAAGGTTATGCAGATTGACAGTTGCCTGAAATTTGACTGGAACTTCTTAAATGGAAACCAAACAGTGATCTTAAATATTGAGTTCGCTGAGTAGATAAACATCAACAAACCTTCTGTGAGATTGTTCCAAACAATGTGAAGGAAACTGTCTCGATCGTGCATGTTGTGCTGGTGCTCAAGACCCAGAACGTGTACAAAAGCATGCAGTAGGTCGTTAACTGAGTTGAAGCAATCGGATGAAATCTCCATAATCTGTGTTTGGTTAAGTACACATTAGCAACCTAAATAATGTAACGGCGCGTTCCCATTATATCGTGACGACAGATAGTCGTGCAGTTTAAAGTGTCGCGGCTTGTATATTTCAAGGAAGTTGTTCACATATAGCACAACACGATTAACTGTCCTTCACGACTTTATTGACGTTACGACGAAAAACTGTTAAGACAATGGAAAGAGCTAGAATGACAGCCGTTAGACGCTAAATAAAATGTCACGATGAAAATGTGACGACAGATAATCGTAGCTACTATTGTCGTCGCGTTTCATTTATTATTGTCTGCATGACTTCCAAAAGAACATAGAGGCGACTGCTGTGCATCAAACATTGTCGATCCAGTGGGGACGGCTAGACACGACAGTCGTTCCACGATAAAAAAATGTACGACACAGTCACAACAAACAGTCGAGATATGGGAACAAAAACGTTATGACATAAAGGGAATGCGCCCTGATTGTTGTTTCAAAGTCTTGTAATATAATTAAAGTGGTGTTTGCAATTGAATGCTGTCCAATGTGTGTGTCTCATAAAATGTGAAAGTTAACACCAGAACATTTAAGAAGAAGCAGAGGAAAAATTCCTAATCTACGATTTGATTTTAGTGGGGTAAATCCACTTTAAAGTTAAAAATAAAATATTGTACGAGTAACTACACGATATATTCACGCACAGACTCTAATCAGAAACAAAAAACAATAAAGTTACCTCAATAGATAAAATCACGAAAACATCTAATTTTCACATTTTTTCGATTTATTATCGAAATGCTACGGGTTATTAGAACAAAAACTAGATAATTAATTATATTTATGCATGATCGACTACTGTCGTTACGGATTTTTTTAATCCCTTTAGTTTTAGAGTTATTCCGCTAAAACGAATTTGGCACTTACGACATTTTTGCGCAAAAGACAACATCTCCTGTCGCATGTCACGGGAGCTTCATTTGAGCATGTACATATTTGTTATTTTGTTTCACAAATTAGTCACTATCGCTCCGTTGAGACGAGAGGATGTTGACAAAATTTGCGGCTGAGCTGTTTAATCGTCATCGTAAATTATCAATATAATAAAAAAAATAACTTCGCTCTTATACCGATGAATTTTCAATCTTATTACTGATGAAATCAAAATTCGTAAGTTCTAAGTGCGTTAACACACATGAAAATAAGATTTTTTATGTTATCGTTCAACATAGGTAGGTAATTCACAAACTTACCTTCGACAATTAGCCATCAATATTGATAATTTACGATGACGATTAAACAGCTCAGCCGCAAATTCTATCAACGACCTCTCGTCTCAACGGAGTGATAGTGACTAATTTGTGAAACAATTATATGCTTGAAGTTCCCGTAACCAGCGACAGGACATGTTATCTTTTGCGCATTAAAATGTCGTAAGAGCTAAATTCGTTTTAGCGGAATAACTCTAAAACTAAAGGGATTAAAAAAATCCGTAACGACACTAGTCGATCATGTATAAATATCATTAATTATCTAATTTTTGTCCTAATAACATGTAGCATTTCGAGAATAAATCGAAAAGCTGTGAAAATTAGAGGTCATTTCGTGACTTTTATTTATCGAGGAAACTTTATTGTTTTATGTTCCCGATTAATGTCTATGCTTGAATATGTCGTGTAGTTACTCATACAATGTATTATTTTTAACTTCAAAGTGGATTTATTATTATTATATATATTACTATATATTTTAAAATCAAATCGAAGATTAGTACTTTTTCCTCTGCTCGCTCTTAATGGAACGTGCCCGGATTGAAACCGACAATTTCAGCATTGCTTAATTTTCCAGCTTGCACGTGAAAAACTTGATTTAAAAAATAAGGGGAGTAAGGGGACAATATACCCCTACAGTGTGTTTTTTTCTCTGGGTATTTGCGCAGCAGTCTGCCTTTGAGAATTTACCAAGTGTATGTATTTATTATGCATTTTTGAATAATTATATTATTTTCATAATGTTCCTAGTTTCATCGTTTTATATTATAAACAATAAGCATTATGGTTTTTAGGCACTTCTAATCACAGGTCAGATTAGAAGTGCCTAAAGTCATATTTGTCCAGAAACGAATTCAAGAAGTTTTGGATATAATGAAATGGCGCTGATGCAGAAAATCGACAGTTCTGTGTACAGAACTATAATCTATCAGTAGCGAGTACCATAGACAGTAGAATTTTGGTTAAAACTAAAAAGAGCCCCTTTGTGATATGGTTTATGAAATTATAATCACGCAAAGTGACACTTTCTTTTTAAATAATTCGAATCCAGTTATGTAAATATTCCATTAATAAAAAATTCCATTAATAAAGGATTAACTTTGTAGCGGTTTTCACTCAAACTTCAAATATGGATCAATTCCCAAGATTTAAGACCCTGAATGTCTAGTTGAGAAGTTAGTTATAAAATGAAGTCATTCGTTCCAGTCTGATTCTTTGCAACGTTCCGAAAATCTGGTGCAAAGAGTGTTACCGGTTCTCCAATCCAAATTATTTACTTTTACGGTTAGATTTTTTTTATCACAAACTGGATACTCTGGAATCCGAATGCTTTTCTTTCCATATTTAAATCATACTATTTCGTGTGGCTGTTTACAGTTCGTAAGAATATGGGAATTAGTGGAACATCTAAGACATAATTTTTTTTCCAAATACTAGAGATACAAAAGCCCTAATGTATATTCTACGCACAAATATACTCCACAGGTAAACTCTGTTGACCGCTGTAATAAAACCATCATGGCAGCTGTCTCCACGTTCATAGACGAGGGTCACAGTCACAGATCTTGGGATCTGAATATCCCAAAAAATCAATTTGCTCTCAATATTGCTGTTAGTAACATCACGTCTGGAGAGAATTGGTAGCTTGTGGTTCCCACAATCTTGATATTGACCAATCCGAAGATTTTTTGCGCCTAGGGACGAATATGCGGAAAATACCGGTAAACTTAGAGAAAATTTCGACCATGTACAAAGTTCTTTAATAAACTCGCATGACAGAAATTGAATTGTGGTCCTTATAATCTTCGTCGTAAAAAGTTTGACTTTAATGTTGGTGATATTGTTCGGCGAAAAACTTATTATCAGAGTGACAAGGGAAAACGATTCTCTAAAAAAACTACCTCCTAAGCATATTAAACGTTGCATTAAAGGTAAATTATCACCTTTAATATATGAATTTGTCTATATGCATGGGCCTGGGCTCTTGACAAATTAAAGATTTTAAATTGAGAAATAATACTTATTAAATTGTGCTAAAGTAAATTGTAGAACATATTTTCTCTTCCTTTTCTTCAATGTTTACATTGAACCTAGTCTATTTTAATATGCTAATAGGTTGACATTTTTTGCATAGCTTCTATCAATTTGTATTTTAATTGAAAACGACAATGAAATGAATTATTTCAGCCTTGTCGTTTGGCTTCCCTAGAAAAATAAATAAAACTAAAAAACTATCAAAAAAGAAAACTCTTGCAGAAATTTGTCAGATATTTACATAGGCATACACACATTCACCCATATACATATACACCTTCACATATGTAGACACAAATGCGCATACTCTACTATAGTCCATTTGTTTATTATATTGTAAGTCGCTTCATTTAAAAAAATATAGTAATTAAAAATTAATGCCTAAATCTATTAATACAACGGAATTCAGTTATAATATGTTGTCAATATATATTTCAATTTATTACATTGTTCTTTGATACACAACATTTTAAGTCGCTTCGTTCTAGCATCGAATTAGTTTTTATGTAACGTAAAAAAATTAATTGTTGTCTGACAAACTTTGTAATTGGCTATGTAAGTACATTATTCACAATTGTAAACCAAATTTAAAAGCTGTGAAATTTGCAAACAAATAAATAAATTTAAAATTTAGCGGTGTATTAACTCATTTTATTCAAATTATACTTTGGAATTAGGGTTAGATATATAAATACGTAATACGTTTATTTGAATAAAGAAGTGTAATAAAAATTTTAAGTAGTCGAATACGACTCTATGGATTCAATGTTTACGGGTCGACGATAAGCGCGCGAAAATTACTTTTGATCGGTTTGCGCTGCGACGTACGGGTAGCGGGCGGCGAATGATAGGTACGGGTAGCGGGGAGTGTGGGTGGAGCCAACGTCAAAACTTTTTTGGCATGAGGGCTCTTAAGTGCTTGTACGTTGCACTGGCCTGCACTTGGAATTGATGCGAGTGACTAGGGAATGTAAATTTGGACCACATTTGATATCCAGATTTCGAAAACGGATTTCGTAGCGAATCCGGAAAATCTGGGTGTTTTAGGAAAGGTAGAAGAATTCAATAATTTTATCAAAAATTCTATAATCAATCAAATTTTAATCTAATCTTCGATAGGTAATTGTGATCCATGCATAACACAATATAATCAGTTTTCTTCGAAATTATGCATAGGATTTGTCTATTATAAGCAAGGATTGGAATAGGCAGAGTTTTTTACCTAAACTTCGAGGAATAGAAAATGGAGACTGCCTTACGACAATATTTTTTAGGTCCTGGATCTGGTCGGAACTCGGGAAATTTATTAAGTGTTTAGAAATAACATTATTTTTATCTAAAATGAAAAATATTTTAAAAAGGATAGAGCTTCAATCGTTGTATCACATAGCTCGCTGAGGATTTTTAATATAAAATTTTAAAATATAATTTTAAAATTCCAAAATTTACTTTGCGATACAGTGAATAAAAATGTAAAAAAATCCAGATTTAAAATCTAGTGAAAATCCCAAAAAATCCAGATTTTTTTAATTTCGGATTATCCGGATTGCATTCCCTGAAGTGGCGGATCTCTTTTTAACATTGTCCAACGTGGAAACATTTGTTTAGCTCTGGTGTGTAAACGAAATATATTTATGGAATGTATTAATATAGTAATACCCAAATATGAGTTACGTACAGTTTCGCCGGGTTGTTTACCAGCTGGTGGGCATTGGCAACCAGGTCGAGCCGTCCTCGTTAGGATCAAAGAGTGTTCGATGGATCGACGACTACTACTCCTGCGGGTCTTAGAATTGAAAATTGCACGCTTGCTTCTGGCTGAAGATAAAACAAGATATTCAAGTAGAAATTCTTCTGAAAGGTATTTAGACGTTAAAATAAATTAATCGTTCGGCGAAGTAAAATATTGCAATTTTCTTACCAGATTTTTGCGCTGCCGCTTTTTTATCTATGCGTTTAATATCTTTACTTGTTAAGTCAATTTTCTGTTTATCATTATGTTTAAGTTTCGTTAGTTTTTTGTGTTTTGATTTTGAGGTAGGTTTTTTTAGTTCTCTGTTGATGTTACTGGAATTTTGTTTCGGTACGTGTTTGGTGACTTTAGGCGGTTCAGTTGGAGTGGTTGCACTTTGTACCATGCTAGTCATTTTGCGTTTGTGGCCCTGAGTTTGTGCAGTACTATTGCCTCTAGTAGAGCTACGTCCTTCAGTAGTACTACTACCTTGAGTTCTGTGACTATTTTTAGTATCGCTAGTACCTTGTCTAAGTTGCTGGTCAGTTACGGTGTCATCGACTTTTTGATCTTGAGCAGTGGTCAAATTTTCTTCATCTTCGACATTTATTTTTGTAGTATGTGAGAAGACATCTGTGTTATTATTATCTTCTGCGTACACCGGTCCAAGTTCTGTATCATCGTATTCTTGATTTTGTTCCGCATCATCGTCTTCACTCAGATCTTTGAATCGAATGCACGTTTCCATTCCTATATGTTGCATGACAGCGTTGATATTTTCCCTTTCGTCTGTAGCTGTGTGAGCGAAATGCAACAAATGTTAGCTAGTTAATAACAAAAAAAATTGTTCACGGTATTTTCGGACTTTCGTTTCCTCTAAATGAATTTACAAAATGTTGTTTTTTTATTATTGAGGTTGGAATGTAATATTTTATCTAACCGACTGTACCTTTATGCTGATCAATCAACACTTACAGAATTCCATCATATCTTTAAATTTAAAGTTTATAACTCCGTATGGCCACAGTTTGTCTTTGAAATAATTTTGAATGTCCTCTTTGGTAGGGTGCTCGGTTGGGGTATCTTTATTCTTAATCACACTTGGACAGGTCGTCAGTAGGTACTCCTTGTTCCGCATCATACAATCGTTGCCGAATATCATGCTTACTTTCTCCACATCTGTCTCGCTGATACCTTCGCGTTGGCCAATTTTGATACCACCCTAGAAATATTGAAAAAAAGGGAAAAAGTTATTAATACACCATCATCGAGCAGTGCGATCGCTGCAAGTCCAAAATTGAACGATATGAGAATCAACGGAGTCACAAGCACAAAAGATTTTTTAAAATAAAATCTGTTTTTTAAAACATAGATCATGCTACATGGCCACGGCTGACATGCGTTTTACAACCAACAAGTAGGTAATTTGTTTTACCATTTCAATGCGAAATATAGAATAAATTCGAACGTTTTCGGGATTATTTGCTTGAAAAACAAAATATACGCCATTTTAGATGCAAAAAATAGTTTCGTATTTCTGCGGCTAAACAGTAATGTGAGCATTACTGCGTTTCGGTAAGGGCGCTGGTGCCTTGTCAATTTATGTCTTAGGATGTCGGGCGTAGTGGCAATATGTAATGCTCCTCAGATCTTTGTGATTTAAACCTCTGAATGGCATTGTAACTGTTATTGACAGGCGTGTCGCTAACCAGGCGCACGACTTATTCTTTCCATCATTGGTATCATGAAAAATCTGCTTTTTGAATAAGCGATAGCGTACGATTTTAATACAATGTGTTTGCCTATAAACTGAAGCCTACCTAAACGTCGTGGTAGCCATGGCTACCACATCATAATCATCATCATCATCTAGTGGCCGAACTAATCTCGGAAGTTATGCCCCCTTGAACAGGCTCATGCAGTCATACAATGACTTGACTGTTTTTTTTTATAATAACGTACACACTCAACATAGCCCCGCGCTAGGGAAACCCTGTGTCGCGGGTGCCATGGATACACACATAGACAACCACAAATTACACCCAAGCTCACGAGAGATATAAATGTAGGCCATACAAATATTTATCCCGGCCCGGGAATCGACTCTGGGACCTCTGCGTGGCAGTCCGGCATGGTAACCGATCGGCTATGAAGGCAGTTAAATGTGACCAGATACAGTGACATAGACATCTTTCATGTAGGGAACGCTAAACAAGTTATTCGCATGTGCAAGCAATCGTTTCAATCTTAAATCCTTTATAATCAATTATTGATGTAATTCTACGTTTTTAATTGTTTTATTATTATTTTTAATTATTCTTTGTATTGGCTAACTCTCAATGTTTAGTGCTGTATACAACTGTACCGACTTGGGACCTTGGATGGGAACGTAGTCTGTGTATTTCTAAGATTGTTTTGTTTTAATTGATGGTGTATCTTTAAATAACTAAATAAATAAACCCTCGCCTGAGAGGAGACCCGTGCCCAGTACTGGGACGTATAAATGAGTTGATGATGATGACAAAATGGAGAACAAAATTTGAATGAAAATACAACTTACATCAGAAAGAATTGTAACCTGTCCATTTCTTGAGAAAGCCCGAGGTGGATAATGGAGGACACTGGCGTAATCGTACGGAAGATTGTATAGAGGATCATCTTTACGAGGTTCGAAATATTTTCGGTATCCTAAGAAATACACAAATAAATAAATACAGAATGCATTTATAATGTTACATGATCGAAACAGTTATTTGCTGTCCTTTGACTGCAAAGGTGGAAGCAGATGATGCAGCCTTGGTATAATAAAACTACACGTGATCGTACGTCAAAAGTGATTTTATAAATAAATAACGCAAACACTCATGGCCCCGTACTAGGGAAAGCCTGTATCGCGGGTGCTATAGACACACATAGCCAACCACAAAATACACCCGTATTCACGAGAGAAATAAATGTAAGGCTTTACAAATTTATTCTTACAAAATTTCTCATGATCAGGATGGTAACCGTTCGACCACGGTGCCTCCGTTTCAAAGTCATAAAAATAATATGAACGACACGAAACAAATTAAGAAAACAAGATTCGTTAAAATTTTCACGGTAGAAAAAACTTACCTCGAAATTTTACAAGAAAACCGTTGTGTTCAATAGGTACTTTATCAATGATTTTTTTTTTTTATATCAACTGAACTAAATAGAACAGGTATAGTATACGATATACATTTTTCAAATGGTTTTAATTTCGTTTGTAAAAAAAAACTGAAATAAACCCAGTGTCCCTGCCGCTCGACCCAAGCAAAATAAACCGTATTAGTACGGGAAATGGTAACCTATCACAAACTCGAATTTCTTTTCCGAAATAACGTTTGTTCGAATTTTCAATACACCGAAAACCGAATTATAACGAAACCGTTGTTATTTCAGGATATGTTGGATGTTTGTCGCAAAGACACGATTAGGTTCGGTTAGGTTAGGTTAAGTTCCCCGCCGAGGCGATGGAGACGGAGCTCCTCGGTCAAGTGGTGGCTGGCCTGTTCCCGGAGGGGGATGAGAGTTTCTCTCCTTCCTCCATGGCTCCGCCGATTGCGGAGCCGGAACAGGCCGATACAGTTCCTCCAGTCACACAGGAGGAACTAAAGGCGGCAGCGGACCGGCTCAGAGCCACAAGAAAGGCCCCCGGTCCGGACGGTGTGCCAGGGAAAGCCCTGGCACTTGCGTTGGAACACCTGGGAGAACGCGTATTGAAGCTGTTCGATGCCAGCTTGGCGTCGGGGAGCTTCCCCCAGGTGTGGAAGGAGGACCGCCTTTGCCTCCTCCTGAAGGAAGGGCGTCCGGTCGAGTCCCCATCAGCGTATCGGCCCATCGTGCTGCTCGATGAGGCGGGTAAGCTTTTCGAGCGAGTGCTCGCTGCCCGCATCATCGAGCACCTCGACAGTGTGGGCCCCGATGTGTCGTCGCATCAGTTCGGATTTCGGGCTGGGCGTTCGACCATCGATGCAATAGCGGAGCTAAGGGGACAGGTGAGGAGGGCCAAGGCGGAGCGGGGGATTGTTGTGGCGGTGTCGTTGGACATTGCCAACGCGTTCAACAGTCTCCCGTTCTCCGTCATCGAGGAGGCCCTAAAGTTCCACCGCCTGCCTCAATATCTGAGGCAGGTGGTGTCGAGCTACCTCACCTCCGCCCGGCTCCTGTGTGGAGGTGGGAGGTAGGAGGGTCGGGGTGAGCCCTCATATAAAGTACCTTGGGCTCACCCTGGACAGCCGGTGGAACTTCAAAGAGCACTTCCACCGGCTGTCGCCGCGACTCGTGTCCGCCGCGGCGGCGCTTGGGCGCCTTATGCCAAATGTGGGGGGACCCAGCTCCCTATGTCGTCGGCTTTATGCCGGCGTCATACGGAGCATGGCCCTCTACGGGGCGCCCATCTGGGCGGAGGCCCTCACCACCAGACTGCGGCCGCTTCTGCGCAGGCCGCAGAAGCTAATGGCGGTGAGGGCGATTCGGGCGTACCGGACGGTTTCCGGAGCGGCGGCATGCGCCCTGACTGGATCCGCACCCTGGGAGCTCGAGGCGTCCGTCCTCGAGCAGACTTACAGGTGCCGTGCGGAAGCCAGGGCACTAGAGGAGCTAGTGGGGGTTCGGCGTGCCGCCAAGACCGCCGTCCAGGCGGGGTGGGAGGAGGCACTCCGATCGGCCAGATACGGGGAGCGCACCGTCTAGGCGCTGCTCCCTGTACTGGCTGATTGGAGAAAGAGGAGGCACGGGTCCCTCACCTACCGTCTTGTTCAGGTACTCACCGGACATGGCTGTTTCGGTGACTACCTGCACAAGATCGCACGGAGGGAGGTGACCCCGGAGTGTCACGAGTGCGGCGCTGCTACAGACTCGGCGAGGCACACCTTGGAGGTGTGCCCGACCTGGAGCCAGCAGCGCCGGGATCTCGTAGAGGTGGTGGGACGAGACCTCTCACTGCCCAGCATAGTTAGAGCCATGCTGGGAAGCGAGAGGTCATGGCAGGCGATGGTCTCCTTCTGCGAGGACGTGATGTCGCAGAAGGAGACAGCCGAACGGGTCCGCGAAGACAGCGCCCTCTCGGACCCCATTCGGCGTCGGCGGAGAGGACGCACGCGACGGCTCTTCGCCGACCGCCTGCGTCCCATCAGCGGAGGCCAGCAGGGTGCGGGGTTGGGAGACCCTGCCCCTGCATTGCACAGGCCTCCGCCGCCGGTAGATGCCCCAAATGTTCCGGGGCATCTCCGTGCAGGTCGCCCCCCATGATTAAGGGGGCGATGGTGTAGGGGTCCGCCCAAAGGCGGACCAGCACCACCGGAGTCGCGGTAGCATCTGAAAGGGACCCCGCGGCTCCGGCGCCAGGTGCGCGCAGGAACATTGTGAGGTTTTTAGTGGGTATGCTCTTGGGGATCCACATAGTACCCAGGAGAGAGTCCCACATATCCCCGTCGTCTCCCAGCGGCGGGGAATGCATAACGCATTTTCCTCACGGTAATAAAAAAAAATAGAAAAAAAGGTTAGGTTAAGTTAGGTTTAAAAGAAAAAACATTTTCCTCTCAAAATTACTTTCGAGATTATGAAAATTCGGGCAAACGTTATTTCTGGAAAATGTAAATTCGGACTACTGATATGTAACCACGGGAAATATTCCCTCCCATTCAAACATAAAAGTTATCGTTCATAGAGCCTTTGAACCGCTCCCCTGGAAGGTTGTCATTTTCCAGATTAACAGTCCAAATTTCTTTTGTACTAATAAGTCAATGGCAATCTTTCGAACTCCATGTTTCGATGTTATTATTTTAATAAACTTACCAGGCTTGATATTATCCCAAAGGATTGTCACGTAGCGATCGCGATCAGGACGTGTGTGTTCATGTGAGAAGCCCAGAGTATGCATTACCTCGTGCGTTATTTCTCCGAGAGACATGCAGTCGTATCCAAACACGACTACCTGCAAGATAGACTCAAATTAACCAAATTTGATTACATCTTTAACCAGATGGCGAAGAAAGCCAAGCATTTTTTAGAGATATAGATGCTAGATGTTGCATTTATAGGTTTCGTCCCGGGAATTTCACCTTAAAAATTTGGAGTTTCAATAAGTTTTTAGCATTTGTGAGACTCGAGACAGAGGTGTTCAGTCTCGGGAATATCGAGATTTTTAAGTGCGCCTTCAAATTAGACGCTTATATAAGCCCTGTAGTAGTGCAGCAGCCGTGTCTACGTTGTACTTCAAGCAAAATGGTGCGCGAGTGTCACGACAGTGGCGCTGCGACTGCGCTTCTAGATAGTGTATGTGATATAACCGTATAACTATGTATACGGAACTCTACTGGAAACTGTAAAACGCCATCTTTTTCGGAGTTTTTGGGTTGGCCATTTTGCCACCATTAAGCGCGTTTACGTACTGCAGCTTAAATAAATCTAGAAAAATCGGATCCACTTCGGATGTCGGCTGTGGTAAGTCCGGTTGGAATCCGAGAAAATACGAATCGCTTGTACGCCTACAAATACAATCCCTGTGACATTTCGGACCGTCATTTCTCGGATTCGGAACTTTTACGAATCGGACGTCGTGTGCAAACGCTCTAAAGATATAACGACTTCCCGCAAAAAAGAAGTCCGAAAATTAAAGTATTGAAGAAAAATTATAGTCTAAGATCTGGCAGTATGGAAGGACGAAAAATTTTACTACTACGCCATTTATTTCCTACGTACTACTAGTACTATAAAAGCGAAAAAATAACTTTTATAATTTTTTTTATAACATCAAGTGACGGGATGAACAAGTCGTGCGCCTGATGGTAAGCTACACTGCAGTACAGTTTCACTTAGAGCTTTAAATTGCAAAGATCTGAGGAGCACTACTACTGCGCCCGTCACCCTGAGACATACGTTGACAAGTCCCTTGTGCCTGTAATTCCACCAGCACCGTTATCCTTCAATACCGGAACACAGTAATGCTGACATTACTGCTTGGCGGCAGAAACAGGTAAGGTGGCAGTGCTTCCCTGGAAGAACTCTCTCACAAGGGCTCTACTGATACTAAAAATAATTTTTGCATTTTATAATTTCCGCTAATAAAGAACTTCATTAAATTATCATCCTACTATCATGATTTGATTGCCTATGTGCTTGTTTATAAGTATGGAAACCTATTTTCGGAACAGTGTTTTCAACATTCCGCCCGGAAAAACCCGGTATTTTCGAGATATCACCAAATCTAGATATTTCTTTTATTCCCCGGGAGCCTTAATATTTACGATGACATACATTATAATAGAGATATCAATTTATAGTAGAGATGAAGAATAGGGATTTGGCCGAAAAACCCAAATATTCGGCCACGCTTTCGGCTGAAGCGCGGAATATTCGGCTGCCGAATGTTCGGCGTAAAATCTGTGCATTTCACGCGCGACATTTACGACCTATCTCATTGCTGCGTGCGGAAGTAACGGTGATGGGGTGTTTTTGTTGAAAAATGATAAAACGATAGAATCAATACATGACAGTTTCTGGACCTGTTTTGAAGAAGTCGCTACAGATAATATGCAAAATGATGAGGATGTGGTGAAAAGTTCTATTGCACATGAAATTGATTTTTATTTGAAAACTGTTCGCCTACATCAGACGGCAGATCCTTACAAATGGTGGTCAGCAAACGCAAAGCGGTATCAAAGTCTATCAAAATTTGCTAAGATTTATCTATCGTCTCCTGGCAGTAGCAGTGTTTATAGTGAGAGGCTATTTTCAGAAGCAGGAATTGTTTATGAGGAAAGGCGCAACGTTTGTCACCAACCAATGCTGATAAAATTGTTTTCATTCAACACATTCTGCCACTGATTGATTTTAAGTATTAAAGCAATAATTTGTGATTAAAATACATGAACATATTTTTTTCATTATTTGGTATTCTATATATATACTAGTCGTAGTATTCGACCACTATTCGGCCGAATACCGAATATTAATAAAAGTGGCCGAATAGGCCGAATGCCGAATAGCAACCGAATATTCGTGGCATTTCTATTTTATAGTTAACTACGAATTTAAAAATCTGTACCTGCTAACAGCAGAGCATTAGAAGTTATTTACAAATGTCGGCATCATGTACTAAATCTATGTATACGTAATTATTTACGGCAAAAAATATGTTTTTCTACTCCTGTACTTATAACGCGTATTTGGCTTGCGTTTTAGTTGTTGGCATGAATTTTGTGTTTGATTGTTTTATTTACTCGTAGAAATAGTATTGTATGCAATCATTATTACATAACTAGCAAATATAACTAGCAAATAATTCTTACAATCTCGTACCTATTACTTAGACCACTTCGCAAAGCCTCGTGGCCTAAACACGGTACTTGACTTTAAGACCCTCCCTTATTATGCAATGATTTCATCTTTGTCCTTGAAAATATTAAAAAGTGCGTTTAATTTATTCACATAACCTAAAAACAAAAGACTTAGTTCTTGAAAATATTAAACAGTCCCTTTCATTTATTCACATAACCTAAAAACGGATTACTTCAAAGTTCGTTTTACGTATACCAGTCATTTAGATGATATGCAAGGGCAAGTAAAACAATTGATGTTGACACACGGTTCAAGTAATTACAATGCAACGACTGAAATGATGTTTTGATCATCGGGCATTGGCATTTATTTAGATCGGGGCTTGCTGGTTTTATAAGGAAAGTAAAGATCGCAAAAGCTATACGCCAAGATGAGTGCAGAATAAATTTATTATACGTTTTGATTCGTATCTTTTTATATTTTAGCGGCAATGAGAAAGAGTAGGTCTAGGAAAGTACTGCCACCTTACATATTTCGGCAGCAAAGTAGTAATATGAGCATTACTGCTTTCCAGTTTTAAAGGGGAAGGGTGCTGATGAAATTACAGGTGCATGAGACTTGCCAATTTATGTCTCACGGTAATAGGTTCAGTGGTAGTGCCCCTTAGATCTTTGCGGTTTAACTCTAAGTTCTGAGCAGCACCAGCACGCAACTTGTTCGCCCTGTCACTTGGTAAAAAAACATATCGATGGAACATGAATGTTTAATACACCTTCGTCTAGAATACATTTTTGATTGGCTTTTGCGCTCTTTCTCAATACTCTATACTTTGTTGCTTTTAAAATATTTTTTCTCCAAAGTATGCGCAATTTAGGGCCGGCGCAAACCGGCAGACATGAAGGCAGAAGACATTAAATATATCACTGCATATTTTATGCTATTTCAATTGAAATAAGGTATAAATGGTAGTGTTCTGAGCATTGAAATGTATACCTTGTTTAATTGTAATAGCATAAAATATCCTCATCATCATCTCAACCCGCCAACACCCAATGCTGAGTATAGGCCTCCTCTTTTGCACGCCAGCTCAATCGGTCCTGTGCAAGTCTCATACACAGTCTTCCGGCCATCCAGATGATATCGTCCAACCGTCTAGCAGATGGTCTGCCTCGAGGACGTCTCTCTCCTACCGGGTACTACTTAGGCGCCCCGCCCGCCATAAAATATACATTGATTAATTTAATGTCCTTTGCCTTGCCGTCCGCTGGTTTGAGCTGGCCTTTAGGTGCAATTTTCTGTTTAAAAAAGAGTTGGAACAAACATAAATCATACTGCACACTGAGTATGATAGTGACACAATGCAAAATATTCAATTTTGAGTAATGAGCAATTAAAGTTTTGAAAATTGTGTTCATTGCAATTTCTTACTTAACAATGACTTTTGAATGCGGTTTTCAGCAACATATTACATTTACATTTTCACCTACCACAATAAAATAAAGGTATTCTTTGAGAATTTCGTTTAGTGTCACTATTCCTCTCAAGGTTTTCATGTAAATTAACGTTTCTTATAATATCGTCATAAAGAATTCATTAAAACAAAGTGTGTCGAGAAATTTAATTTTAAACTTCGAAAATAAAAGAATAACTTTAGTGAATGTTTTTCCATAAATCCCGCGTAGATCTGGCTCAGTAATCCTATAGTATATTCATCTTAATGCAAAACGACACCATCCAAAAAATGACGATATTCTTCTCGGAGTTACTAGTAAATTGTTTGACAATTCAGCGATCTTTGTCACTACCAAAAAATGTCGATATTGCGCTGTCTCCTAAGCCCCGTTCCCTTTATACAGCATAACGTCATTCTGTCATCTAGCGAGTTCTAGGTAGACAACGTGCACAGGGGTTTTTAAATTCTAAAGTTCGTGCTCCCAAATCTAAGATGGCGATAGAAATAAAAAAATAAGTATTTTGTTTAATGACGTTATCATTCTCAGTGTGCGATACAGTTTTTCACATTAGTGTCGTTTTGAGACGTTCGGTTAAGACAAGGCGTAAGTACGTAATATTTTTGTTTAAATCTTGTCTTTGGCAAGAGTACGTTAATTAATACGCTGTGTCCATTGACTTACAATTATATGGACGTCGGGTCCGCGCTAAAAAGTGTCCGCACTTGTAAGGCGCTAAAATCGTATACAGAGCGCGACACTCCGCTTTAGTCTTCATTTGTTCTACGGACAGCGCGATACTGCGATGACATAACAATTTAAATTTCGAATAGGTTGACTTGGGACATTTTTTTCGTGGTTTTTGTATTAGACCCGTCGTCCATTTATTTGTAAGTCAATGGCTGTGTCGAATTCTTTTAACAATGACGTTTGTGTATAAAAAAGACGTTTAGCAAAAACAATCTTGCCACCGTACAACAGCTAACCAAAAACCAGCTCTAGTAAAAAATCATGCCATGAAGCTAAAGATTTTCACTTTACCTGTACTCCTACATTAGGTTTTCGCTCGTTGCTGTGAACACATTGCCGTATGCCTGAAGGATTGGTGATATAGATCCATTCAATGTTTTTCATCGATTGTGCGTCAGTCGGTTTCTCTCTGAGCCGTTGAAGGCGAATGCAAGTTGCCTTTTCGAAGTAGTCAAAAGCGTTCGTTATTCTTGCTGCCAGATGGCCATCTGAAAGCAAATTACGCAGTTGGAAGAGACTGTTGGTTGAGTAATCTGGCCAGAGATCTTATGTCTAGTCCTGGAGTTCAGAGGTGTAATCGTTTTACTCAAAAGTTAGACCGATTTCAGCCTAACTAGTTCAGTCTATTATTGAGATTGTTTTGTTAAATAACCCCACTAGTTTCTTTTTACGATTATTAACATATAGTCCGAACTCATAGAAAAACTTTTTCGACCCGATGGGACTTGAACCCACGACCATACTGCACTGTAGTATTATTGCTTTTACCAACAGAGCTACGGGTCAAGTTATCGAAATTCTCCTATGTGTTTTGTTAAAGTTAGTTCAGTCTATTTTAAATTTGTATTGAATTGATATTAAATTATTTTTTTATGTGAAATTACTCCACTAGTTTCTTATAATGATTAATACAAAGTCTAGTTTAGTTGTATGAGACTTCCTTGTTTCCAGAGATGTACTACCACGTTACCTATTTCTGCCGCCAAGCAGTAACGTGAGCATTACTGCGTTCCGGTTGTGAAGGGTAAGGGCGCTGGTGGAATTACAGGCACATGGAACTTGTCAAATTGTCTCAGGGGGACGGGTGCAGGGGTAGTGCCCCTCAGATTTTTGCGATTTAAAACGCTGGGTGGCACTGCTACTGCTTATGGACAGACGAGTCGCTTACCAACAGGTCTTGTTCGTCCTGTCACTTTGTATCATGAAATTCATCCGTGTATATCAGAGATTTAATTACAGATAACGAGTTTTGTAATAGGTTTTAAGTTAGAAAGTAAGGAGACAGGATGCATTTACCCCAACTTCAGTTAATGCAGCATTAAGCTCTAATTCATTAACAAACGTGTCAGCCCGTTTTGTTTTAAGTGAAAATGTTACCACAGCTTATATCTTCGACAATTAATGTGTCATTTAAAAAAATATATTGTAATTATTTTTAACCGACTTCAAAAAAGGAGGAGGTTCTCAATTCGACTATATTTTTTGTGTGTATATTGCGTCACCAATTACTCCGACATTTGTGGATCGATATCGATAATTATTTTATTAGTAGAAAGGGGATATATGGATAGAGGGTCCGTTCTAATTTGAAGAAAATATTCCACCTCTAAAGGTGGCAAATTAGGGGATGAAACAGTTTTATTGGATTTCATCCATTTTCCGTTAACTTGTCAAATAGTCGTAATACCACTTTTAAGATCGGTTTTTGAAATAAAGTTATGTATGTAAAAATACGTTAACAGACAAACTTACGTAGGCAGCAAATGCTATAAAGAAAATATAAACAGCTGATAATTATATTCACCATAAGTCTTAGGATCAATAAAGTAAGGTATGACCCCATGGTGCCAATACTTGGGCCAGTCAATTCGGGGTCCCGCAGGCGGAGCCCAGCCTTCCTCTGTCTCCTTCTTTTTGCCTTCTAATAAGTGTGGAGCGAAATAGAACATCTTCTTTCTGCCACCTTGAGGCTGTTTTAAAATAATATTTGAGTTATTAGACTCACGGTATAACATAGCCCTTTAAACTAGTAACTATATGATCACATATACATTTCATATGCTGCTTATGTAACCCTCTAAAGGCGTGTTTACACCGAATCGACTACTTTGGCTTGTCGAAGGAGGCGCAATTGACACGTTGTTTGGACCGAACCAACTGCCGCCTTTGCCGCAATCACCGAGTCGAAATTGCGTCTGTACATTTGAAGTCGTCACGCGCGTAGTTTGCGCACACAAACATTTGGTCGAGTAGACAGGTATTCGACCAGTTCGCTCATTGCCGCCCGTGCGTTGAAATTTGTTCAGTCGACAGTCGCTTACCTAGAGTGACCGAATCGCCGCCGGTGTTCACACTTAGTCGATATGTAGGTTGCAAACTTTAACAGGCAAGTGAAGGCGACATATCGACGTAGTGTAAATAGGCTATGAGTCGACCAAATTGCGGATTGGGAACCACTTGTTACAAGTCGCCTGCATTTGTCTCATCACTGGTTGAAATAACTGCTCTAAAGTTTAACTTTATGATTAGTTTTAGTAAATAATAATATTCAAAGAATTGTCAGTGGAAATATTAAGAATACCTTAGGTTGTTGTTTTGTAAACTGAACTAGGTTTTGGTAACAAAAAGTAGCTTAAAAACAGCACTATTACCGGAGCATCCCTCGTAGTAGTCTTTAATGTCTTCTTTCTGTATTTTATGTTTTTTCCCTTAGTCTCGCTCATGTCATCGTACAGTTTCTCTACCAAATTCTCGATTCTTGCTTGGTCTGCTAAATTTAATCTTGACGTGGTCGCTGCGTCACCTTTTACATCGAAATTGTACTCAGGTGATTTTAGCGACACTTCTCTTTTCCCTCGTCGAGCGTTCCTATTGACTTCTTCTCTATCATCCCTATCTTGCAAATGTCTCTTTGGTCTTGTTTTACCATCATTATCATCACCAGGTAAATCTTCTTGAGTGGCATGTCTTCTGTATCTAAACTTGTTTTCATACATGAATGACAATGATAAGTGATCGTGTGCTGGTGGCTCTTCAACATTTCTCAACCTTGCATGTTCTTCGTTAAACATTTTGCAAAGCTCAACATTGTCTTGACGCTTTTGGTCGATTATTTTTTTGTCAACTGTTGATAAAAATAAAACACAATTTTTATTACACATATAAAATGAAACTAATTACATGATTTAATTCCGCCATCCCCTTTCCATTATCGGACTAGATGTGGGCTTGGGTTCCTCCCCTATGTTGTGGATATTCTAAAGATTCGCACGAAGCGTTACGCTTCCACATTTATACGGCGAACCGCTATGGAGTGGAATTCCCTGCCTGCCGACTTAACATGGACATTTTCAAGGCGAGAGTGAATAGGCATTATTTAGGCGTGCATGCCCATCGTCGACCTCATCGTCTCTTTCCATCTGGTGAGATGGAGGTCAAATGCGCCCTTACATTTGTACAAAAAAAAACCATGTCTTCGGATCTAAATCGTGTGTATCTGTCATACAAACAATGTTTTGAGTCTTTTACAGGTCCCATGGTCACCCAGGTCAGCCATCCGTCAGTTAGCCGTGACCACAGGACCTGTAAAGAGCCTTAATGCGTAATGACGCATTAAGTAATTATAATGAACCATAATAAATAATATGTTGGCGTTTATTGATATACGTTGAAAATTTTATCATGAATATAATTATTTAAAATGTTTTTGATAAATATATTCAGTGAAATATAATTTATTAACAAATATGACTGACGAATTCAAGTATAGAAGTAAAATACGGTCTCCTAGACATATATGTACATCCCTTGCCCGCATATAGGGACTCTCACCTATAAATTAAATTATCTTCAAGTTTCACTTTCTGTATCTGCCTTGCCCTCGCGTGGGAATAGGGCGTGAGCTTATCTATGTATGTATGTTCACTTTCGATCAATCATTCGGTTTAACCTAGGTCTTTCTTTTCTAGGTTTCTCTTAAATCTTTCACGATTTGATTTGTGCAGGTAGTAAAGAATGTATGTATTGTATATTGTATAAGTGCATATACGTTCTAGTTTAAGACACGGGTCTCCTTTAAGAAGAAGACTTGGTTCAAAGCCCGCCACAATGGTTTTATGTGGGTTGGGAATTTCGCATGAAGTCCTATGCTGGTTTCATAGTATACGAAACTGCTATATAAACTGCTATATAGAAAATAATTTGGTTCAGATATCACTAGGAACCATACATATTAAAAGCAACTTACTTTTGCGCACGCTCAAACCAGGTATAACACATTGTATAAAAACAATTTGAAAATTTATCAACAAAAACAATTTAAAAAAGTTATACATTATGCAAAAATTGTAATCTTGAAAACCATTTCTCTACAAAATTTCCAGTATAAATGTGAATTATAATATGAAATATATTATTTGTTCTTTTATGATGATTCCTTTTCACGAAATTTCTTTTTATGCTCATTTTTATAGTTAATTTTGTCAACAACGTGTGCCAAACGTGACTTTTACGAAATAATTCTCAATCGATCCATTTGGCATGGATTAAATGAGAAAATGTTTGCAATTCGGAGGTCTATACAACATTTTGTGAAATTCCTCCAACCAAAAAAACCCCAAGTAGCCGTAGAGCCCCTTGTGAAAGGCTTCGTCAAGGGCAGCCCTATTACCTATTTCTGTTGCCAAGCAGTAGTGTGAGAATTACTGCGTTTTAAGTATTGAAGGCTAAAGGAAATGGTGAAATTACAGGCACATGAGACAAGATGACGGACGCAGTGGCGCCGCCAGACTGTGAGAAGACAATTTTAAGATCTAGAATGACAGTCGTCTGACGATAAATAAAACGTCACGTTAAAAATGTTATGACAGATAATACTAGGTACTATTGTCGTCGCGTTTTATTTATAGTTGTTTCATATCTGCAAACGACAAGGCGGCTGTTGTGAAATGATAAATTGTCGTCACGATCCAGCGGGAACAGCTAGACATGACTGTCGTTCAACGATAAAAAAGTCCACGACACAATTGCGATAGATAGTCGTGATATGAGAACAGGCTAGACATGGGCTAGACGTGACGACGAGAAATAAAACGTTATACGAGTATGATATTATAATGTGAATGCGCACTCAGAGAAAGATCTTGGGGACACTGCCATTGCGCCCGTCACCCTGAGACATAAGTTGACAATACCATGTGCCTATAATTTCATCAGCACCCATACCCTTCCAAACCGAAACGCAGTAATGCACAAATTACTACTTGGCGGCAAAAATAGGAAAGATGCCAGAACTTCTATGGACGAACTCTTTCACAAGGAGCTCTACGGTACTAGTTTTTTTTACCTATATCATAATTCATTCGAAACACCGTGTGTGACTAGTACGACATTGACCTTATAAATTGTTTTTTTTTTTTGCAAAATGTATGCGGTCGGCTTTTTATATTAAACATATCAATATCATGAGTATAAATCATGTTTATAATAGTTCATTCCGAGTACAACATTATATCATAAATGCCATGAGCTGAAGTTGGGTCGCACCTTTTTTATCTCTCTGTAGATAATTAAAATAAGTCGACAGTAAGTTGACAATTGCAATTTGCGAGTTTTTGATGATGCCAAGTGATTTTTGAGTGGCACCGCCATGCGTCGTAACGTCAAAAAAGTCGTGAACAGTTAACGTGTTGTTATGTGAACAAAGTCATTTAAATATACAAGCCAGGACACTTTAAACTGCACGACTATCTGTCGTCACGACATAATGGGCGTCGCGATTATAGGCGTGTCGCTTACGACCAGGCGCCCGACATGTTCGGCCAGTGAAATGCCATTATAAAAAAAAATTGGTGATTTTGTTACAATGCGTCCGAAAAATTTTTTCTGGCAAGCGTTGCATTGCAAGAATTTCTACAAAGTTGTATATATCAGTAATAGGCTTATGTATAAGAACCATTCCTCTTACTATAAATCTTTTTGAACAAAACTATATTTATGCTGTTGTTGCACCTTTATAAATAAATAAATAAATAATTTACAGCACGATTCAGTTGTTACAAAAAATAATTTAAGCTTTAAATATCTAATGCGACTAAAGCAGGTATTAAAGTAATAAAATAAAATAAAATAAAATTATAAAATTATTATTATTATTATCTATAAAATTATTGGTATTTGCTTGCACTTACCTTTTCACGATTTGTAATAACGAAAAAGACTTCCAAGCGTGTTGCCTGTGACACTATTAATAATTCAAGATTATATGGAAATACTTTAGTGGGTTAAGATATACAACAAAAGGTTGGAGTTTTGGAATCAACGTACTTGCTCATCTAACGATTAAATAAGTTTAAGAATGAGTTTGTGCAAACTATGCTTTCAAAATGCGAGTAATTGCTGTATTTTTTTTAATTTGTAATTTAATTTTAACAATATGTTGAAACTTTAATTATTTACGATCAGTATATTTTAATTTTTTATTCTTGTTATGTCAATGGGTAATGGATTTATGCCTAAATAAATAATTTAATTGTTATTGTATTTTCGATTTCTCATTCTCATTCGCATTCTCCGGCAATGTTATTATTATTATAATTATTAAAAGTAATCACTGTCCGTTAAAATTCCATGTGGATCATCAAAACATAGTAGTGTTCCCTTATTGAATGGGTCATTATACACAAGGGATGTTATAAAACTTGTTTGATACTTCATTTGGTTGTAGTAATTGTATTGTTTCTGACAATGTTATTTGAAAATATTTGGAATTAACTGAAATTTAAATTTGAATGCAGCGCGGTGTGCCACTTACAAAATTATTAAGTTAATTAATATATAATAAGTTATTGTAGGTAATTTTGTGTTTGTTTTTTCTTTTTGAGGTGTTAACTTTTACTATACTTTTACCTTAGCTTTACCTAAAAACATTCATTGTAAATCGTTATTAATAGCTGTTATTGTTTCGATTAAAATAAAATAAAATAAAAATAATCTAAAGTAAGCTTAAAAAGTTTCTAAAATTAAGCGGATGATCGGCAGGCTACTGTGAAAGATTTTTACGCATGTTGAGTGAAAATATAACGCTCACATGGGGACGGCCGATTTGTACATCGATCCAGTTGATGGATCCAGAGGCGCTGGCACGGGGTAAAGTAAAATTGGACACAAGAGCTATTGTCAGGTTTCCAACTTCATCGTACACCTGACGTCGGCAATCGCCTCACCTGTCCAGCGGATTCGCAAATTCGAATTAGAAAGTTAAGTTTTTTATGCCGCTGCCGGCACAAAGTTGTACAAGGTTGCTGCCACTATAGCGGCAAGTGATGGCTAGTTGCGGTTTGTGTGTCATCGGGTGCGCACGCTTCTTGGGACCGACATTATAAATTATAGTGCGAGAATCACGCGTCGAGTTTTGTGTTAAAAAAAATTATAAACAGGATTTTACTCTGAGTAAGCATTTGTTACACTAACTACTTTCATTCTTCTTTGTATTTTATGGTTTTAATAAAAAAATCTGAGTTTTTACGACCTGTAGGACCGGTATTTTTGTTGACATAACTTTTGGTGTCCGTTTTCAACGTGTCACCATTTTCAAGTTAGCGAATTTTGCATAAAGATTCTTCATCGTCAGTTTTTCATAGTGAAACTAGCAAAGTTCATCCGAATTGTCGCAAAAATTTAAGTACGTACCGTTACGTCTGCGTTCTACGTTCTTTAAAGAGGTCAGTAGTCATTGTGTCTTGGAGCTAGTTACTATTAACGTATGACCATCTTTTATAGGTATCTTCTAATATCAGCTGACTAAATGGTTTACCACTATTACTTAAAGTTCAAATTCCTACTCAATCTTAGTACCATGACAGTTTAAAGGGTTTGGATAACAATACGGTAAGGTGGGATATAGTTACATCTTTTTTAATAAGAAAATAGGTGCGAATTCGACCTCCATCTCAAAGTGATGATGAGGCCGACAATATGTAGACGAACAGATAAGTAATGCCTATTCACTCCCGACTTGAAAAGACTTAAGTTATAACGTTCTGAGAATACGTCTGCGGGTAAGGAATTCTACTCCCATATGCCATCGCACTCTCCGTGATAACTCCTGTAGAAAGTACAAACTCTTTAAATATTTTATTGTTTGTTTACTTCGTGTGAGCGTGCGCACTTAAAAAAGTGCCTAGAATTTGTGCCATGCAAAGGAAGTTCGAAAAGAGGAAAGAACAGAATAAATCATAAGGTATGAACGTTCCGATTGACTGGATAAGCCTTTTAAATTACATATAAAACAGAGCGTAAAATGTGTAATAGTTTCTTTGCAACGTTGGAATGTGCGAATGTTTTTGCAATCCGGCTTTTGCCGATCGGACGTTCATGTCTGTATTTAGATTGGTTTTGAAATACTATAAGGGAGCATAGGTAACATATGAAATCTGATTCTAAAATTATTTTCGCCTGCTTGAATGGTAAAAATTCACAGTCTTGTGGTCTAAGAAGGTCATATCTGCTAAATGACATCTTTTTAATACGAGTCGATTTTAATAGACAACTTATATAAGCTTTAAATAGGTGAATTGTACAAATTGACGTATACGTAATTTCTTTCACGTAGTTCGTTTTATTTTTATGACTTTCGTGAGATAAAGCATTATCATTACAAGTACCAAGGGTACGAACGTAAGGGTAGTAGCAGTAGAACTCGTTGTGAAAGAGTTCGTCCAGGGAAGGTCTACCACCTTACCTATTTCCGCCGCCAAGCAGTAATGCGTCCGGTTTTGAAGGGTGCTGGTGAAAATACACGCAAATGGGTCTTGTCAACTCACGTCTCAGGGTGACAGGCGCAATGGCAGTGCCCTTCAGATCTTTGCGATTTAAAGTTCTGAGCGGCTCTGCAACTGCAACTGTCGCTTACCACCAGGCGCACGACTTGTTGGTCCCATCAGTTCGAGTATAACCTATCCTCGTCATGTGGGATGTCTAAGGGTTGATGATAAGTATACTTATATCTTTGACATATTTAAGAATCTATACTACCCTAAATGGCTTTGGTTGAAACCGCATAACTTTTTTTTTTCGGAAAAAAATATATAGTAAAATTGAGGATATTATATAATGTATGTATGTATAATGTACACTGATTACTAGATTACTATACGGTGTGAAATAACGATTCCGATTTTCACGATAGAGAAAAAACACAAACTTACCTCGAAATTTTACAAGAAAACCGCTGTGTTGAATAGGAACTTTATATATACCAATCTATATACCAATGATTTTTTTTTATACACCAACTGAACTAAATACAACACGTTTAACTATATGAAATACTTTTTTCAAATGTCCTTAATTTCGTTTGTAAAACAATTCTGAAATAAAGCCAGTGTCCCGGCCGCGCGATCTATGCAAAACAAACCGTATTAGTACGGGAAAAATTTGAATTCGAGCTGAGGTAGCATCAAGTCTTAATAGTTATTTTTGTTAAAAGTTAAAGTAGTGCTGTATTGATGGTGTATCTTATTACGTCATACTTTGTTTGCACGCAAAGTCAACGACGTTAATTGATTTTTTTATGACATCAAGTCACTTAGCTATTTTAACATTATTTAAATTTATCTTATACAAGGTACGGTAATTAACTTGTACCTACATACGTATAAACTTTTTATTGAATGTCAGAATGTTTCACTATCATGATATTCAATTATTTTTTATGAAATTACTTAGTTTGTTATAATTATTAATACAAAGATTTAGACGAACATTTAGAAAAAAATCCTTCTATCAGGCCGGATTCGAATTTTTTCTAACTGTTCGATCTTTGTATTATTAATAATAACAAACTAGTGGAGTAATTTTACGAAAAATAATAAATAAATCCATCAGGAGCTGAATTTATAATTATTTATCCTATAAATGACTACTTATAACGTCATAAGAATAATATAAGAAATTAATCAATGGCACATATCAAAAAAATAAAAATAATTGAATATCAAAACAATACAAATTTAATTATACGTACATGTTTTTAAAGTATAAATAGGTAACCCTGAGGTTTTTTTTTGATAATACCACGTGACGAGAGGTGTTTTTGTAATTTTTTTTTAAACCGTCTTCAAAACTTTGATTATCCACTTTCGCTATATTCGTTGTCGGGACTTCTTGACCGACAATTTAAACGCAGAATAGATAAAAGTGTCTTTAGAACTAATCATGATGAGCCCAAACACAAGGTAGGTTGAGGAGTTCCTCTCATCTGTCTACCATTTCCATTTCCAGATCAGTTCTATGTCACCAAACCATTTTATTTTCTTTGGAATTATACCTATATGTCAAGTTTTATGAAAATCAGTTAATGAAAAGTGGAGGAAATTCAATAAATCTTGGAGGTAGAATATTTTCGTCAAATTTGAATGAGACCACTACTGAGATACCCCTTTTTAAACAAAAAAAAAAAACAACCATCGAAAACGGGTCAGAAATGTCGGAGCAAATAACATGCGCGGAAACAAAGTGACGGGCACAGTGGCAGTGCCCCTTAGATTTTGTTTCAGAAGATAAAATTGTAACTTTAAAAAAAAACCGACCGCGAAAGTTCGTGGAATTACATCTATTTGCCAACTTTTATTGAATTCGGTTACCGGAAAGTGCGCGAAAACGGATTCATCCCTTAGTTTTCCAACCTTAGAGGTGGAGTATTTTCTTCAAATTTGGGACCAACACTGAGGATACCTTCTTTCCAACAAAAAATAATCATCAAAATCGGTTCACAAGCGGGAGTTTAGTCCTCCTCCTTTTTTAAAAGTCGGTTAAAAAAAACCTACTCTTTTATGAAATATACAAAATTAGGACAAAATTTAAAAGTGCCTGTAAGTGCAAGTAATTCATTAAAAAAACGTGATAAACAGAAATTACCGTAAATAAATACATAAGTAAGTCCCATACATAACAACTTTGTGTAGTCTTGCCGTTTATATTTATTTATTTAATTATGGAGCAGTACAAAATAATACTTTTTTTATGATACCTAGTAAAGGGACGAACAAGTCATGCGCCTGGTCTTAAGCGACACACCTATCCATAACAGTTGCAGTGCCACTCAGAGCTTTAAATCGCAAAGATTTGGGCACTGCCATTGCGCCCGTCACCCTGAGGCATAAGTTGAGAAGTCCAATGTGTCTCAAGTAAACAAGTAGCGATGAAAAGAGAGGGAGTTAATAGGTATATAATGTTAACTAAGATAATTATAAAATGTTAACTAACCTATGCAGTGATTTAGAACTGACTTCCAAAAAGAGGAGGTTTTCAATTCGACTGTATGTTTTGTTTTCTTTTTGTATGTATGTTACGCGATTTGTGAACCGATTTCGATGATTCTTTTTTATTGGAAAGAGGGTATCTCAGTAGTGATCTCATTTAAATTTGAAGAAAATATTGGAATATTAGAGGTGGACCTCTAAGGGTGGTAAAGTACGGGATGAATGAATTTTGAGCTCGGTTTTTTAGTACGCTGTACTGATTGAAGAACTAAAGCCGCGTACTCACTAGTGAGCTGTAACTATAACCGTTGCATGTTATGTAACTAAAAATGTACGTGGTTCGCGAGCATGCCGCGAGCGGTATGAGTGCGGTTCGCAGTGAGCCGTCTAATTGACGACTGTTTCAAGGGTATACAGTAGAACCTCGTTACTGTATCTGCACGTTAAAGTTACAGCTATCTAATGAGTACCCGGCTTAAGTAAACATCTCGAATTCATCGTCGTTCAGCTATTGACCGCAAGATGGCAGCACACTGATTGAAATTTCAATATAAAATGACAACGGCGTCGTCGTGAGATTATTCGACTGTAATTTTGCTATATTAAAGCAAGGACCGATAACTCAGATTTGACTGCTAATCGCGACACAAGATACCGTAGACCCGACATTATATTTAACACCAATTGGTATACCAGATGTCGCGGTGAGTATCAAATAGCTATTTTTGTAACTTATTTCTTTAACATTGACGAGCTGCAATTTATGAAGCTATAATTTCTAGTGATAACAAACAAATTAACTTGATGGTGCTTATAAAAACGGATTTTTATGGATAATGCCGGCTGTTCTTTTATTTTGTTTATACCATTTATTGACAAGCATATTTGTCAAAGTTCTGAAAATAATTTCAGCTAAATTAGGAAATCAGGTTGTGGACATTGGTTCAAGAATGACCGAAATCGCATACATTTATCTTTTTCAAAATGGCTGAAGTTGATGACTTTACCATTTCAGAGAGCCGTGGTCACGGGAAATATAAAGAGTAGGAAATGGTGATTTGTTTGAAAAAACAAATATACGCGATTTAGAAAAAAAAACTGTTTTTTAAAGAAATGTAACTAATTTTCCGGATTTAAATCGCGAATGTTTGTTTTTTCAAACAAACCAACGCAACGTTTCAGGCCCTT